TCCGCAGGTGAGAGCAGGACTGTGGTGGCCACAGGGCTGAGCAATGAAGGGTATGCTGGGGAGAGATTATTGCCAAGGATCAGAGACTTGCAGATAGGTGCAGAAGTAGACATGGATGTGGTTTCTGCACTCACTGGACATGGAGGAGGGCAGAAGGCACTCAAGAAGGTTTCCCAAGAAGGCTGCTGACAGCCTGCTTCTCTTTGTTGCTCTCTGACTCAGTGACAGTGGCTTTGCGAGCCAGGGTTTGGAAACTTATGTTGAAATGAGGCCCATATCATCATCATCATCTTCAGCATCGTCAGATTCTGCGCAGTCCAGGGGTGAGTTAAAGATTCCTCTTTGTATTTGCATCATTTCTTCAGTGACCACCTGGTCTGGCTTAGTTCTAGGGAACTAGGGGATACAACACGGCTTGCACTGCTTACCATCTTTGCAGCAACCCTAAAGCTTCTGTTTGAATTTCAGGGAAAAGCTCAGAGGAAGATGAAAGCAGAGAGGACCTCCGGCCCCTTAACCTCTCTGACCTGCTTCAGTTCTCCAGCCAGGTGGCACAGGGCATGGCATTCCTCGCATCAAAGAATGTGAGTGCCTAAGAGGACCACTGCATCCTAGTAGGTAGCACCAGTCCACCAGCAGCAGCCAGCTGTCCTGTCTGTTCAAGGCTTGGGAGGTTTTCAGATGAGATGATCAAACTGAACTGTGCTTCTAGAAATGGGCCTCTCTCCACCTTCTGGGTTCACACGCACCCAGGGCTGTGCATCATGCTAGTCTGCCTCAGTATTTTCTGCCCAGCTTTTTCATGAGGTCAGGAACCTTGATGCAGAGCTTGTGCTGGCAGCTTCCTGCTGCCCCAGGGATAAGGAACTGAAAGTGGCTGTTGAGCTGCCTCAGTGGCAGAGGACAATTGTATAATGGCTTCCCATGGGACACTGTGAGCAGCCCCTGCTCCTAAACTTTGCTCCCACGGGGAAGTTGAAGGCTCGTCACTAATACAACTGATAATGCCTCAATGTTTTAGCACTGCAATTGGAGCAGTTGAAAGGAGAGAGCCTATACTCCCTATGCATGACAGTGCCTTTTCCAAGAGCTTTTCAAGCAGCACCTGTTCTCCTTGCTCCTGTTGGATTTGCTATGGTGACATTCTGAGGCTGTAGGGACATCAGTGGGGTCTCAGTTACGCTCTCTTCTCCCCAGTGTATCCACCGTGACTTAGCAGCCAGGAATGTGCTCGTGTCAGATGGACGGGTAGCCAAGATCTGTGACTTTGGCCTGGCCCGTGACATCATGAATGACTCAAACTACGTTGTAAAAGGCAATGTAAGTAATTGGAGCGGGGACTGGAGAAGGTACAAGGCTGAGGTGCAGCCAGAGCATGCGCAGGGTGCAGCATAAGCTGCCTGCTTGTCCCAGGCTGCAAGTTCTCTCCTCTTCCAGGCCCGCCTGCCCGTGAAGTGGATGGCCCCAGAGAGCATCTTTGACTGTATTTATACAGTGCAGAGTGATGTGTGGTCTTACGGCATTCTTCTCTGGGAGATCTTCTCCCTTGGTAAGGAAGAAGAAAGCTTGCAATCCTCTCTTGTTTTCCATGGCTTATCAACTTTAATGTCTGCAGAAAAGTTTGTAAGAAAGGAGGGAGGCTGGAAAAATCTAGTCTATATCAGGGCTATAAAACACAGTATTTCCCGAGGGACCATTAGAAGTATTGGGTCCTGGAAGATTTACTTTAACTCAGAGTTCTGAGTGGCATTGGCTCCAAACCGCCTCTGATCTGAGTGTTCTTGTCACAGGTAAAAGTCCCTATCCTGGCATGGCGGTGAACAGCAAGTTCTACAGCATGGTGAAGAGGGGCTATCAGATGGCCAGGCCTGACTTTGCTCCCTTGGAAATGTGAGTGGTGCACTGAGGTGTGCAACAGGTGGAAGGGGGACTGGAGCTGCTTTGTATGGAGTGGGTGGTGATGGTGTAGGTATATGTCAGGCATAGGTCTGTGGGCTGCTCCCAGGGAAGCTCTGTGTTAGGCATGTGAGGTTTAGGGTTTTTCCATGCTCACACAGGAAAGAAGGAACCAGAGCAGTCGACTATGATGCTCTGCCCAGTATCCACTGCTTCCAGTCAGGAAGGTGGGAGAGCTCATGCTATCTGTATGTTCCTAAAGATGGCAGTTTGGGTTTTCTCCTTTCAGCTAAAGTAACTCTAGGAGTGTGAGAAGACAAGCCTGAGGAACTTACAGGAAAGGAATGAGTTTAAGCTGGAGTAGCAAGCATAAAGCCCCTTGCAGATAGATGTGGGGACACAAGATGTTTGCTCTACCTGTTCCTGCGCTCTCATTTCCCTGGGGACACCGTGCTTACCTGAACCGGGAGTATTATAGAAGGGAAAAGAGGAGGGGGCTGCTCAGCACTGCGTGCACCAATACAAAGTGAATCGCTCTGCTGTGCTGCTGCAAAGAACCAAGGGTGCAGACTCCCCAGCAGCTTTGCAGAAGTACAGCACAGCTCAGTCCCTCTTTGGCTTTGCAGGTATAGCATCATGCAGGCGTGCTGGAGCCTGGAGCCCACACAGAGACCTACGTTTGACCAGATCTGCTGCTTTATTCAGAAAGAACTGGATTTGCAAAAGGAACAGGTAAGAACCTTTGGGGAGGAGAAAGCACATCTTCTCCCCTCCTTTCTTCCTATATCAGCATAGCTTCTGGCCAGCTTTCCTGGTGCCATTCCCTAACTTAACTGAGCTGCTTCCATCAGTTACCTGTAAAAGTGGAGAGAGGTATCCAGATGGTGAAAGGTAACAAAAGCAGGCTGGACGAAGAAATACAGTTACTTAGCAGCAACCTCCATGGGCAGCAACACAAGTGCAAATGAGAGCAGTCTGAAACATGCCTCTTTTTTTTCCTTCCTGTTTTCAAGGACTACACAAACCTCCCTTCAACTGCTGAGGAAGACAGTGGCTGTGATACCTCTGGCTGCTGTGAGGAGTCCTGTGAACAAGAGGAGAGTGGGCAGCCTCTTCTCAAAGGCAACAACTATCAGTTCTGTTAGCTGGTGCCATTGCCCTGGGGTGGATCTTTAGGATCTTTATCCTTCTCTCTCTGCAGAGTGCATGATTCTGCATGGATGCCTTCAGCTTTGGCTCTCCTCTCTGTGCTTTCTGAAGTATGAGAGTATGAACATCACTGACTCCCTCGCTGAAAGGACAGTGCTAGAGTGACTCAAAACCAACACTCACCATGGGGGCCCTAAAAGCCTTATCTCCATCTCTACAGGGTGCAGAGGCCCCATCCCCTGCCCCCAGCACCCCTGCAGGGGACTGTGAGGTGACTTGGGTTGTTTTTTAAATACCAGTTGCAGCCATGTAGGATATTTCCAGAAGTCGCTCACATGCCTGAACCTTGTTTTCGCAGTACCTCTTAAAATGAGCCCTTGAAGTGGGAACTGCCTCCCTTCCCAAAGCAGACCTCTGCCTTGGGGGTCCTGCTCTCTTCCCTTTCCCAGACTGCCTCTGGATGTTGCAGAATGAGTGGTTAGATGTAGATAAATCTCCACTAAGCATTAAAGATGCATTAACCTCTAGTTTTCCTCATGCAATCTACCTCTCTGCAGCTAGTGCTTCTGCAGGGATCGGTGGGTGAAGTGTAACAAGGAGCCAATCCCAGGGCTCTGTGAACCCGCACATGCCTCAACATAGGAGAGGGCAGTTATTTCTCAGGCAAAACAAAAGAGGTGAGAAGTGCTCTTCGCATGAGCGCTGACCACAACCCCAATCTAGGCAAGAATGGCAGCTTAAACTGACCTGGAAGTTTTCGACATAACACATCTTACAAAAACTTTTGCATTATTAAACATGTAGCAATTCACTGCCGCCTTCTTGATTACAGACGTGCTCTTGTACATATTTTCTTGAATGTATTTTGATAATACAGCTGAAATAATTATTTTTTTCCTATAAGCTAGGGCCTAATGCCCTTACAGTTCTATCCTCATCTCATTTTTGTTCAGGGTTACTAATGCCCCATCCACGTGGTCCTGTGTAGCTATCAGAAGTAGCTAATAACTCTTCTTAGCTTCACCTGACTTGGGTGGTAAAGGATCAGCATTACAGGCACTGACATGGCTTAGGAAAACTGCAGCAAGACAGACCTGCTGTGTGACACCTAGCCTTCTTCAGACCATTATGTTGGGGGCCACTTCTGATTGTATTAAACCTGTTTTTATGCTAACACCAAGTGATTCATTTCTCCTCACTAATAAAAAGCTAATGTTATTTCCATCCGGCAACAGTATGAAGAATAAAGTGTTAAACAAAGTAAGTCTTCCTCAGGGCTTTAAGGGCTGTTCTTAGGGTGAGTGGCTCAGAGCCCTGCCCTCTCATACCCTGCAGCTCTGCTCCAGTTCATCACACACAGTTCTCATCGTCATCAGTTCTTAAAACCACTATCTTGTGTAATAAGAGAGGAAATAAGAAAAGCACATTAAAAGCAAGGCCTTTACTCTGAATGGCCTCTCTGCAGCTCATAATAAAAATGAAGAGTCACTGTCACCTGCTGCAGAAAGTCATCAGGGAACTGCAGAATGAGAGCAGGCTGACCAGGGGAGCTGGCCATCCCATTCTCATAGACCTGCCATTGCTCCACAAATCTTGTTAATTCCATCTGAACTCTGCTGAGCCTGGAGGTGAAAGAATGGGTTTAGATCATTTTTACAAACTGCAAATGTATCCTGAGAGACGTTCCAAGCTATCTGGGTCAGAGAAACACTGATAGTACTGAGAAGCCTCTTTGTGTGTACATATATGTATATATACACACATCCTGAAAACCCTAGGAGTTATACAAGGGCCTGAACAATTTCTTGAGCTGTTCTTCTCATACCACATTGCTTCTGAGAATACCAGGCTTCCTGTCTGTGCAGTCTGGAAGCACAGTTTACACACACACAGTGCTTGTACCCTTTCCCACTGCAGTCTTCAGGTCTTGTAGGCAAAAAAACAACTCAATCGGCCGCAGTTTCACCCCCAAAATTGGAGATAATTTATTAAATTTTATCACTGACTGAAAAAAGTCACTAGCATCTCTTATAATAAGTTAATGTTCTTAACAGAAAAACCCCAAGCCATAATTACTGCATGTGCTCAGACTTGATACATTTACTTTTACAGTACGGTACTCAATAGGTTCCCCTTCACAGAAGGGAATTTTCAACCACACCACAAGCCTCTGAATCTTCCCCCCTGCTCACTCAGACAAAATAAACTCCCTTCACAGTTCAACACCACCCTCTCCTCTGCAGCACAGCAAACAAAAACCTTCAGCTTTGGTGCCAGTGACAACCAAAGAGACTTGACAGCAACACACACACAGCTTTACAGCCAGAGCCCGAGGTGTTCTTTAGACGTGCTGCAGGAGCTGAGAAAGCAGCCAGGACAGCAAGAGGCTCCTCTAACTCACAAGTGCTGTGGGACACAGGCAAGGTGGATAAGACACCCAGGGCACCATGTCGATGCAGGTCTCCGGTGCCTGTTCTGAGGGAGGACCTCACACCTCTGCTCACTGGCAATCCTGCATTGTTTCTCCTTGATCTCACGGTCTTTGTGACTCAGTTCTAAGGGCACAGTAACAGAAATTCAAGTCCTTAAACAAAACAACAACAGAAAGCATTCAAGAGGACAGCATAGAAATGGGAGTGTCCAGCTAACACCTCATACAGCCCCCTAATGAACTTGATTCCCTGGGGCCTGACAGGTAAACTCTTAATGTACAGAACATCATTCACTTGCTATGTGTTTCAGCTTCTAAATTATTAGTGCTCATGTGAGGGGACAAATAATTCCAGACAGCTTCAGCAGCCACAGTACCCTCAATCCTGGCTTCAGAATGGCAGCCTCCAGGGAGGCTCTCAGACAGGATACCTTAAAGCTTCATGGCTCCTCCTCTTCAGCTAAGGACTCCCTGAAACCTTTGTGTGAGAGCTCTGCAGGATTTCCAAGCAGGAGCCACTGTCCTAAGCTAATCAGTCTGGAATATTTTGGAACGAATTCGCTGTCTGCCTTTTGAACCTATTCCCACATCCTCAAGCCCTGCCACCAGTATGCACAAAGAAGTCAGCAAGCAAGATTCAGAATTAAGAAACCTGTGCACTGCCATGCATCCCCCCTGCTACCAGAAACGTCATTTGCTTCTCCACTTTGCCAACTGCAGGGAGGGCAACACTGCACACAGCTGAAGAGTGGGTCCGTCGCACACCTCACACAGAGGGAGCCGCAGCCTTCAGCAAGGAGCGAGGCAGACCCACTCACACAGCATTGGTGACACTCTGGAAGCACACAGCTCTTTGGTCATTAACAGCAGTCAGAGCCACCGCTACCACACCTCCAATCTGCAAAAATAAGTTCTTGAGCCAGACAGCTGCCCAAACCCTGCAGAAGCTGGCCCAGCCCACAGCCAAAAAGAGAAATCAGCAAGTTGGTTTGCTACTAAGCAACGTCTTTATCATCTTCCTGCTTCTCTTCTTCGTCCTCTTCTGTTTCTGTTTTAATCTGTGCCACTCCGAGCCGATAGAGAGCATCACGAATTACCACCTCCCCAGGCTGACAGCTCTGTACAATCTCCTGGATCTGCCGATTCACAATTTCCCTGCTGGTGAGGAAGTCCATAAGGCGATTGTAGAGGTAATAATGTGTGGCATTCTCAAAGGTGATGGGCCTTTGGCGGATGTTGCTGGTTTTGCTGTCACTGATAGCAGTGATGATGGTGCTGTAAGGCTCCAGCTCTCGGCACAGGGAGATGCAGTGGTGCCGAGCCGTTGGATCGTGGTGACTGTTGTGCTCCGAACCGGTGTGAACAATTCGGCGTGCTGTCGACTTGGTGATTGGGTGCTGAACGGAGTGCTCAGCCACAGTCATGTCTACACTGTAGTGCTGGTCCAGCAGTTCGGGGCAGGAGACGTACTGGGAGAGAGACACACACCAGGTAGAACCAGAACAAAGCTCCCCATAATTAAGAACAAGATAAAACTACCATTCAGCTGAACTCCAAGCGGAACTGCGACCTGAGTCACGCTTCTGAATGGCACAAACGCAGCTGGTTCTGTACGCTCCCTTTCCCACTCTAATGCCCCTACAGATAATCCCAAGGCACTAGCGGCCCTCTTCCTATCCCGTTTCTCAAGTAATAGCAGTAGTTTGAGAGCAGTGAGACAAAATAAGCTACATGCTCCAAAGTTCACAAGTTGAACTGCTATGGGGCACTTCCCCCTGCCTATATGCACTATATAAAGCAGTTTTATTGTAGGTTTTTGTAGGTGGACATAACTAACCGCTGGAGGATCCATAGGGTCAGAGAAGCAGCCTTGATTTTTCCCCCACAGCTGGGAAGTCAAGTCAGGACAGTATATGTCTGCACACAGTGCCACTGAAGAGGCCGTATCGACAACATACACTGGAGGCCAGTGACGTGAGGAAACCAGCAGGTCCACGTGATCCCGAGCATTTTCTCCTCTTACTATGTACTTTGAGCCACACACAACCTGGAAAGAAAAGAATCAGTACCAAGCAGCACAATAAAACTGAAAACTTACAACAATAGAAAATGAAGAAGAATAAATTAAGCTTCTTTTCAGGTATTGCAAACAATACAGTAACCAGACAGCTACTTTCTCTGAAGATACTGTTTCCTCATCACACCTCATCACTTCATGGTGTGCAGAGTTTCTGACAGGTTTCCCATCACTGGTCAGTCTCAAGATCTCCTGCAGGACTGCTCACACACCAGCCCCCAAGGCAGCACGTTTCATGCCCGAGGCTCAGAGAGACCCACTGGACTGATTTTATTTAACAAGGGTAAAAGGGTAAAACTCAGGTAAAAGAAGGCTACTGCTAACTCCAGCCTTCCTTACCTGATGTGGACACACTTTGTAGATCTTTCCTCCTGTGTGGTAAGCAGAGGTTTGCCTGATGCTTGTCCCATTCTGTACAAAGTCATAGAGAGCCAGGAGGGAGTAACAGAGCTGGTCCTAGAAAAAACAGGCACCAGAGACAGTCTGTATATGACAAACTAATGGACTCTCCCAAAGACAGAGCAGGCTGCAGACAAGGTTTTCCAAATGCTCATTTACACATTGTCCAGTAACTTCCTAATTCCAGTCAGCACCATGAGGATGCCAAGCAATTACATGATGTGGAATCTGTGACAAGGTAATTACAGGCTTCTTTTTTTCCAGTCTCCAAAGTTAAATTTCTTTTACAACCTGTAAGTAATCCTATAATTTCTGCAGGCACCCTTCTAAACCACTCCTGCCCCTGGCACAGTCAAATGAGAAGTTCATTATCTAAGCTGGCAAGTGCAATTTAGGGAAAGACAGTGACAAGCAGCTCCACTCAGCAGACTGGTATATGTGGGCAAATTAGCCATTACCTTTGTATCTGAGGGCTCCCAGGGAATGCTGCACTGTGTCAGAAAGCTCCGCAGTTCTTCCTCACTGTAAGAGCTTATCAGCTCAAGCCTGAAGGTTTCTTCCTGAAGGAGCCTCACCAAGGCACTCCCATTACCTGCAAAAGTAGAAAACATTTGTTCTCAGGTAGAGAAACCATCAGCACATCAAGTTCTTATAAGCACCTCAGCCATTACCTGGCACTGGCTGCGCATCCAAGTTCTTGTCCTTCTCAGTATTGATGACCACAGCTCCTCTCATCAATGGGGGGAAAAAAGGAGCAACAATAGAAGCATCAAACTTTGTGATGGGGATGCTAGAAGGAAAAGCCACCTGCTCAATCACCTCTGTCTCCATTGTGGACCAGAAGTCTTCCACATTCACTTCACTTGATGACAAGAATTCTGGCCAAGTAAACTAGAAAGAGCAATAGAACAGACTGGTCAAACATAAATAACCACAGCTCTCTTGGTAATTGATATCAGCCTCACTCAAAGCACAAAGACTACCCAGAAGAGTGGTCATCCCAAGTACAGCAGGATGACATCAGGCTCCTTTTCTGTCCTGGAGCTCCCCACAATCACTTCTTTTTGGGTGAAAGTCAAAACCATTTATTTGGCATAAAACCAGATGTTCTGTGTAGTGCTACAAGGGCATTTTTCTCCAGTTGGAAAGACAGCAGCTCCAGGAAAAAGCAGTTAAATAAAAAATATTTTATAATATATCACAGGAGGGAGGCAAATTTCATCCAAGGTCCCTACTGTCAGGCTGCTGGACTAAAGCTGTGGTCCAGGCACTAAGGATTTTGTTTTCTCCAAACAGCTCTATGAGGAAGTGCAAACATCACCACTCCAGCCACATCCTCTTGCCAAGCATCAGCAGAAAACTGCTCACAAAAGCATCACATAATTGTTGTCCATTGCAAAGACCAGACTCAGCAGAATCTTTATGGTCTGCTTTGAACATGAACAGGATGCAAAGTCTCTGAAAAGCTTACCTCTATGTTTTTCAGTGCCAGAACATTTTCTACGTTCCTCTGGGCTATTTCCACCTTGGGGGTTATGCCACAGATTCCACAGATCATATCATTGTAATCCCGGACAGTGAGGCATTCAAAGGCCCAGTAGCCATTGCACAGCAGTTCCTGGAGCTGAACCTGCTCATCTGGGCTCAGGCTTTTTTCTGAAAGGAGAACACGCCACCATTACAGCTTTCACTTCCTAAAGTCAGTGGAGAGGTAGCAGAACACTCCTACGCAGGAGAAAAACAAACCTGTCCTGCAGAGAAATGCTAAGAACTGGTCACAGAGGTGCTGTTGGCTTTAGGAAGTGATTTAACAGAAACCTACCATACCAGAAGAGGTGGATTTTTCCTTTTTAACTTAACAGGCTTCAACAGGTCACAGAATTTAGCGTGGTATGGTAAAAAACAAAGGGGAAAACCCACCAGTTTGCTCCTGAACAGAGCTGAGAATATTGCCAACAGCCACCCTGGGATCCTCTCCGAGTTTGATGTGGTTCCGGATGGCAAACAGAAGATCCAAGCTCACCAGTAACTTGTTACCCACGTTGAAAAGGCCTGCAATTGTAACAGACAGTTATTGCCTGCATGGTTCCAGATATCCCTCACAATGAAATACATTCCTTTCTTACTGATACACAAAAAGCTTATACAGGTACAGCTCAAAAATAGATGGATATGGCTGGACAGTGCTTCCATAACTGTCCCCAGCATTTATCCCTTAGACAGAGATTGACAACAAGGAAGTATTCAATCATACAAATACAGGTTTACTTATAGAAACAGGAAAATTCAAGTAAAAAATAATAATAATATTTAATACAATGGGGCACATAAGAGGCTTTTCTGTGCAGACAATTTACTGATGCAGTCCCAAGGCTTCTGATGGTGTAAGTTTCTGTACTCATTTTTCTCCTACCTGTGTAAATATCAGTGAAGCTATGGAGAGCCAAACACTGCAGGTTCAAGCACACCTTGACCTGAGCTGTAACCACCTGTAATCTATTAGCTGTCAGCAGCCAGCACTCCTGAGGACCAGCAAGGGAACTGTAACAGACAAGCAAAAGACAGCTCAGAGTTAAGCCAACAGATTTTTCAGTCCAGGACTGCAGTAATATAAGTTGTTTGAGTTCAGATCAGTTCACTCACATGTCAGCCTCAGCCAGTTCACATAAATTCACAACAGACAGAAAATTTTGAATTTTTAAATAGATTTTGCTGGCACAGTCAGGTCACCGTTCACATTCTCTACACAGCAGTAGAGCTCCACATATTGGACACACAGGATTTGAGAGACGTAGAAAATGTACAGGCCCTGAGAGAAGTATCAGCCATACTGCCACAGAGCAGCAAATGGTGACTAACAACAGGCTGTGCCCAAATCAGTCCCATTTCAGAATGGCCCATTCCATGACCACAAGGATCCAAGGGGGAAGTTCAGACAGGAAAATGCCAGTTGCACCCTAGTGGCAGAAATGCAGCTGCCCACCCAAGGAAACAGGAATTAAAATTCAAAGTTAGCTCTCCCTTCCACTGGCAGCAGTTTAATTAGAGCCAATGCAGGCAGGAAGGAGATATCCTACAGGCTTTTATGCAGAACTAGGTAAGGGAATCTAGTCTATGCATTGGTAGTTGCAGAGTCTTTTGGGTTTTTGGGCACTGGGTCGAAGAAAAGCTTCACTCAAGCCCATGCTAGGCTATAAAAAGAATGGAAACATTAAAAGCAAAACGATCAACATGGCAAACATTCAGACTGGGAAGAGAAAGAAAAAGGGAAATAACATGCATCTATAATCCCACAGTTTTGCCTGTCAGCCTCAAAACATCAGAATGGAAAACAAATAGGGGATGAGTAATGATTCAAAACAAAATCAAACCTAGACTTAGCAGTTACACTTTGATGAAGCTCTCTGCTGTATGGTAATAGCAACCATGGCAAAGTGAATGGTAGAGGAGAAACAGGAACTGCTCAGTTATCCAGAGCAGCCCTTCCCACAGACATGTAGCATACTGTCACACCAGCAGAATTGGAGTCAAAGCAAAAATCGTTTCTTGAATAATTGTAACAGAGAATATCAGCACAGGGTTTAAAGAGTCACAAGTCTAAAACAGAATCTTACTTCTGTCCCCCTTTGAACAGCGGGCTGTTACAGAGGAGGCACTGCGCAGATGGAGACTCATAGTAGTTTGACCAGGAGGTCTGCTCTATGGTGACTGTCTCCTCACTCACGTTGGACAGGATGAGCCGCGAGCTGTTCAGCTCATGGATGAGTGTGAAGACCTCAGCCAGCTCCGATTCGTTCTCTGGGATCTGCATGACTTTGCGCAGCAGCTGGAGGGTGGACTGACGCTGGATCTCTTTCTGGGATGGGCTGAGGGGCTCACTGGTGTTCAGCACATCAGGCTGACCTGGACTGACCTCCTAGAAAGCAAACAAGACACATTTCAAACTAGGCAAGCGTGGGGATGAAATATGAAGAAGCCCACAGAAGTCACCAAAGGTAGCAGCAGCACAGTGACCTTTGTTCCCAGAAGACTTGACTTCTACTTCACTGCACTCCACTGACCGCAGATTGTAGTTTCAGGCCTAAGTCACTTCACCCAAAACACTTCTTCACAGCATGGCCTTTTGGGGAACTTGTGTTGTATCACTAGTTCATCGTAGGCTTATCACTAAACTGGAGCGTTACTGCAGGGACTGAGGATCAAAAAGGATCAGGATCAAGAGGGCAACAAAGCCTTCAATACTTCTGTCAAATATTCCTGCCTGTCTCCGTATGCCATCACCCACATTTTCCTAGGTACCGTGCTCAGGCAGCTACAGCAGTCTGCATCCACAGCAGCCAGAACAGACAAGTGTTACACAGCAACCAAGCCCTGCCATGTTTGAATACACTGATGGATTCCAATGGACCTGCTGCACTCCTTCCTCTCAGACATATGCCCCTCTACCAAGTCAAATACACAGGATCAAACTCTAGGTGACTCAGAAGAACTGAGAGAACATACACAGACCAACCTATTTTATTCACACCAACCTTTCTGCCAAATTTCGATCTGTTTTCCTGTCTAGTCTAGCAATGAGACAAACAGCCAGTCCAAAAGCACGGAGATAACACTGAGCAGTGGAACTGAAATGCTGAATACAACTGCAGCAGAAAATTAAGGGAAAAAAAACAACAAAATAAATGAGGAAGAGACAAGCCACATGCCTCTCAAAATGCAAGCTGACCTAAGTGTGCTGCTGTTCCTTACACATCTGCTTATGTGTGGGTTTCACACGGGCCACTTCAGTTTGTTGGGTTTGGGGAGTTTTATTTTGCTTTTTGTTTGTTTTTAAACAATGCATAAAGTCATGCTCTTCAAAATACATGAAATGGAAGGGTCAAATTACCACACAGACTGAAATGCTGGCTTTAAAAATAATAATTCTGTGAGAGAAAAGCTAAGCTTTGAAACTTCAAATGCAAAAAAAACCCCAAAACCAAAAGAAGGCCACGATTCATTATTTACACCCATGTACAACAACAGGAGATATCTTGAACAACATCTTTCCACAACAGAAAAAAAAAATACTACATCCAGAAATAAATTCAGTCTGGACACAAAGCTGCACTACAAAGCCCTAAAAATAGGAAGCTCTGACACAGGACGTACTCAGATGTACAAGATGTACATTTGCCACAAACTGCTCACAAAGGAGACCACGCTTGGGAGTTTTTTGATGAAGTCTGAAGTTCCACTAAACTGACACAGCTGTGACTTGAGGGCTGGCTTCCCAAGCCCGTACCAACGTGCTGTAAGCATCTGTAAGCTACAGAGACATCCAGTGGTAGAACGGGGTGCTGTCAGTCTCAGTGTGAGCCTGAAGCACCACTGCTGCAGAAGCTGAACAGAAGAAAACATCATCACAAGCATTGCAGTAGTTACTCTGTTAGAAGCAGACTTACCAAACAGGGAAAAAAAATAAAATTAACACGTTCTCATGGGAACTTGCAAACTTCCTCATCCACTCCACAACATCCCTTTGAAAGATCAAACCTTACCAGAGATTTTCCTGTTTTCTCAGCTCTGTCTTTGGCAAGATTATAGCCGCACTTGGGGCAGATTCGTGGCTTGTGCCTGTTTGTATACACGTAACTACAAGAGGGGTTCTTGCATTTCCCTCTGCCACGTGATGTTGCCAATCCCAAATCCTGGAAGGACACGAGAATTACATTTGCTGACCTTGGCTGTAGAACAGTCTGCTGGAATATCATATGCTTTTCCCCAGCACTTAGTGTGAAGGTTACGTAATGGCCTTGTCACTTTGTACAAAATATTTTTAACTGGTACCCAAATGTTCTGGGTCAAATCCCAGAGACCACGGATACTGCACACATTCAACTCAGAAACCACCAAATCTCCCCTCTAACACTTATAGGGGATGGTGACAATGCAGGTATGAAAATAATCCAGCTCTTAACATGACTGCAACATATCACAGTCAGACTAGATAGGTCAACAGATGACACACGGCACACATTTCCCCACATTAAATACAAAACACGTTTCTGTAAGTCAGTTTAACAAAAGCCATGAGAGCAGCCTCATCCCAGAGATAACAATTCCCACAGTGTAACTCAGATCATCTGAAAAATTCTCACCAAAGTCACAGTGCAGCTGTACTTGTAGGAAGGGAAGACGTCTGGTTTGACCTCCACTACTTTAACCTGTGATGCCCTGTTGGTCAAAGCACTGTGGAGCTGCATGGAAAGCAGAAAAAAACACCTGTGAGATACCTACAATGGAATACTCACATCTTGTAAGCAAATACATATTAGCATTTGTTTGGGTTTTTTTCCCCTCTCAAGAAATCTGAAAATGTTCATTAATATCCATGGTTTACAAAACACTGTTTTGCATACCAAGGCTTTACAATTCAAATAGAAGTATTTGAGCATATTTGCAAGCTTTGCTTCTTTACTCAATCATCTTCCACAGACTCCCTCAGTATAAGGTATTACATTTCAGATTATCAAAATGCTACCAGACCTCGTAACATCTTCTGGAAGCTACTGGGAAGTTCACAAAGCAACCAACCAAGGGACTGTCCAACAGCAGAAGCAGTTCAGTTCCTAGCCTCAGCCATCTACAATTCACACTGCTTCAGAGCCACCTCAGAAAAACCATCAGCCACAATTTCCATCATCATCAGGCTGCTACACTGTCATATTCTATCTTCCATCCCTCAGCTCAGATCCCTTGCCCAGGGAAAAAAATGCCAAAGAAAAAAATGTGCACTTGAAGAACAAACCACAGCTACCTTGCGCTCCTCAGCACTGGGAGGCTGCAGAACTGACTGGCCCAACTGCTTCAGTGTACTGGGCTTCAAGCCTGACGTTCTCACAGGAGGATGTTTGTCTTGAAGAAGGAAAAGAGCACAGCAGGTTAGACATGGGAACGTGGTCATGGGTGAATGACACCACAGCCACACGAGATATTTTCCTCTGAACTTGAAATGATCCAAGCAGGTGTTTCATGCACCATTTACCTGCCCTTCTGGTTAGAAAGAAAAGGAGGGTATTTTTTACCTAGGATAGCTCACTGTCTCCCTTCAGACATATCTCATTATTTGACAAAGACCCTTCAATATGGTGAGGAAAGACAATCACTCCCAAAGCATAGCAGAGACCCAGTATTTTACCAGTATTCGCAAACGCCTGTCTCTTGCTAGCCTGCTCAGTGCTGGCTTCTCTCCCCACGCTGGCTGGTGCGGGCAGAATTGCTCGCATGGGCCTTGCTGCAGCCAGCAAGGAGGGCTTCGGTCTTGGTTTACTCTTTACTTCTTGCCCTTTGTGTGCAGCAGCTGGAGCATCAATTCTAAAAGACAAGAGCTACAATCGGAAAAAAATTCCATGTCTTCCTTCTCACCCTCAATTTTCTTCTCTTTCCTGAACTGTGCTTTATTAGCACGATCATCACAGCTATTGTAGTAGAAAGGAAAATTGAGCTAAAGATACATCTGCACTGAGACGACTACAATAATGTAATTGCCACTTAAAAGAAAAAAATAGCTTTGATGGACAGAACTGTCTCAAAGGAACAATCCTGAACTGGCAGAAAGCAGACGGTACACAGAACGGGTCTCGCGCGAAGCACTGCCAGCAGTCTTCCATCTCTTGGATTTGTCCCATCGATACACAACAGACATCACACATTCCCATAACATATGGAAAACTGACTCACACCACAGGCTTTTTTGCAGAGGCATTTGTACTCAGCACCTCGGAAGATGGTGGCATTCCCAGCCCTATGCTATCTTTTTCTGCCTGCTCTGCAGAAGAATCTCCTCGCAGTTGGCTCTCTTGACCCAGCGTCACTCCAGCAGCACTCCCTCCATCTTCAGCAAGCACATTGTTTGTAAGAATGTGAGCATCAGAGATGATTACTTCCTCCCACTCGGTCTCCTCCATTTGCCCTCCATCAGGCACAGCATTCAGCAGCTGGCTGACCGCTTCAGAGCTTTCCAGGGCAGACTTGGAGGTACTCTCACCAACAGCCACCGAGTCTGAGAACATTGACTGCTGACCTCTTTTAGTTGCAGGAGTTTTCAGAGAAGTGCTTGAGTTAGGCTCAGATTTGCTTCTTGGTTGCTTTTCCTGGAAACAAAGAGATGATCACGTTTCAGAGGTTTCAGGTTTTACAGATAAGCAGGTTCCCTTCACAGTCTGATTTGCCCGTGCCCTATCCAATGCTGGATCAAAACAGTAATATTAGGAGTGCCTAAGCAATGAATTGCACACAAGAGCAGAAAGATAACATCTTCTACAATGGGAATGTCCCTGATAATATTCTATCTACCATTGGTGCAGAGCGCATTGCAGAGCGGTGCAGTCACTATAATGGATGGGAGGGAAGCCATCCAGAGAAACCTGGGCAGGCTGGAGAAGTGGGCCCACGAGAACCTAATGAGGTTCAGTAAGGCCAAGAGCAAGTAGAATCCCTTGAGAGCAGCCCTGTGGAGAAGGACTTGGGGATCCTGGTAGACAAGAAGCTGGACATGAGCCAGCAGTGTGTGCCTGCAGCCTGGAAGGCCAACTGTGTGATTGCCCTCCTCTACTCGGCTCTTGTCAGGCCCCATCTGCAGTATTGTGTCCAGACCTGGGGCCCCCAGTGTAGGAAGGACGTGGAGCTCTTGGAGCAGGTCCAGAGGAGGGCACTGAGCTGATCAGAGGGCTGCAGCACCTCTCCCATGAAGAAAGGTAGAGGGAACTGGGATTTGTTTAGCTTGGAAAAGAGAAGGCTCCGGGGAGATCTCATTGTGGCCTTTCAGTATTTGAAAGGAGTCTATAAACAGGAGGGGGAATGACTGTTTACAAGCATGGATAGCGATAGGACAAGGGGGAATGGTTTTAAACTAAGACAGGGGAGATTTAGGAGGAAGTTTTTCACTCAGAGGTTGATGTTGCACTGGAACAGGTTGCCCAAGGAGGTTGTGGATGCCCCATCCCTGGAGGCATTCAAGGGCAGGCTGGATGTGGCTCTGGGCAGCCTGGTCTGGAGGCTGCTGACTCTGCACATGGCAGGGGGTTGGAACTGGATGAGCATTGTGGCCCTTTTCAACCCAGGCCATTCTGTGATTCTCTACTTTTATTTTTAGACACTCTGAAAAAACAGTCACCCTTAAACTCTCTCAAATATCACTATTAGCATCAATACCACAAATTCATCCAAGGGCCCACGTAGCATGCGAACCTTTCCTATCTTCAGCTCTCTGATGCTGCCTGTTCTTCCACACTGCTGGAGAACTAAAGGTCCCTCGACACAGAACGTGCAGCTATGGGATAGAACTGCAGCACAGCGCAAAGGGCTGTAGTAGCACTCAGAAAAGCATGCATCTGAGGGAGTCAGGAAACACAGAATTACACGTGAAGGTTTCTCAACTTCAAGTGAAGTTTTATCTTCAACACTGAAGCTACAGAAGTTATGCATTGGGGTCAATGAAGATGGAGCACCAAACAGGTAATCCACAAATGCTATCGGAGAAATGGAGTCAAGAGTTTCTGGCATGATAAACATATGGATTCTAAGCTTTCTACAGAGATTATACTCAGGAGAATATTCTAGGTTTTGACAAACAGACGTCTCCTAACCTAATCTTTCATCTCAGGAACAGGAAGGTGTTTATATATTCAGTTTCTGTTTTACTGATGTTATTACCAGTCTAAGAAAAAATTGCTGATGCATATTTTTCTCCAAGACGCGACACCGTAAGTGGAACTGTTTACACAAACATGTTCCCAGAAGAGCAGAATGAAGTTGAAAAAGAGAAAGAAAACTTCCCTCATTTTAGTTCTAATCAGTGTAGGATTTAACAGAGCAGGCATGACATATTCAGGCAGAACCATGTATTTACTGTTAGCCACCTATCCACTTTAGCATGTTTACAGCACCAAAGATAATAAACCATCATCACTATTTGTTTCCTAGCACATGGAAAGCCCAGCCATCAGCTCAGATACTACCATTTGTTTGAAGAACTTTTTGTAACTAAACTTAATGGATGTAGACACTGTAGCAGAAATGCAAGTCAGGGCTTGAACCAGTGATTGAGCACCTGGTGGGAAGGCAGGGCCAGCCCAAGGGAGGTCAGGTGCATGCAATGTTCCTGAGTGACTGGAAGAGGTGGAGCCAGGATCCAACCCTTCCCACACCTCATTTAAGGGTTGGCAGTGGTGGTGAGGGGCTCTTACTGGAGATCCCTGTGTACTGAGGCCTTCCAAACTTCCAAAGGTAAGCAGCTTTTTTCCTTTGTTTCTGTGGCTGTTGCATTTTAGCACATTCTCACTTGTTGCATGTTAGGACTTTGTTACTATGCTGTTGTTGCTGTACTTCCAATTGTGTTACAAGACACAAAATGAAGTAAGTTCAAGATAAATTCATGCAAGTCCATGAAGTTTTTACAGAGAATATCCCTTAACTTGAGCCCAAGGGGTCTTGTTTCAGACTAATATAACAAACCTATTTGTTAAGAGTTGAATAATTATGTTTACACTGCTGTGGTTTAAGGGGCAAATATTTGAGAGCATGGCTAGTAGAGATGTCAGCAACTTGGCTGTCACACTTTTCCATTCACCAACTCAATTTTCTCTGAAATCAAAGAGAATGAAAAGCAAATTTACCTTTGGGATCCATTTCCCTCCAAGGAAGTTCCCACACTTGGGGCATTTTGGTGGCTTATGCCTGGTGACATAAGTGAATGAGCAGCGAGGATTGGTGCAGTTCCCGTGTCCCCTGCGAGTGTAGGTGGTTGTCTGAAACAAGAGTTGTCAAGAGTTTCTCTACAGAGCTGAAAAGACACCAAGCTGTGCACGTCACTCCCTTTTCCTAGAAAGTACTTTACCAGTGTTATCTAGCAAATGGCCTGCCTTCACTATTGTTCATCAGCCAACGCTCATTTGTACCAGTGTCAGCACCATCATTGCACTGAATTCAAGTGTTCTGTCTATACACAGACATTCAGTGTTACCAGAATTTGGATTAAATTGCAGAGATAAGCAATGCATATAACCTACAGGTGAAGCTGACCTTGCACTTGCAACAGTGAATTTGAAAAAGTCATCATACAATGGTACACAAATGATTCAAACAGCAGTCTGCAGTGAGGCAAGATTTAAATGATGCATTCGTGTCAGAGTGACAGTGTTTGAAGGAAACAAATGCTTGTGATGTGGAGACAGTTTTCATCAGTAAGGTAATTTGTTGTATGCAGTGCTAAAATACTCCCTGGTGCTTTACTGTCACTCACTGTAAGCTACTGTAATACCAGCAGCACCACCAGGCACTATTTACAAAGACAAATAAACCAGAGTCTTCCATTTTTGCCAAGAACATTAAATCCACACATGGAATTTCTGTCAGCACATCATTTTTCAGGATTCCATATTGCCACTCCTGAGGGAGCTGTTGTGCTGTCAGTCTGTAACTCTGTCTTTTTCCTAGAAATGCAAGTGCTGCCATTAAGGAAAATAGGCCACTTAAGCTAGGTGCTTCTCAGGAATAAATACCTGAAGCATCTCCATCTTCCCTGAGACACTTAGGCAAACATCACACTAGGAACTTCTATAAATATCTGCAGTGTTCCACCTGCTAGAAGCATGGGGATGCAAGTCAACAGGACTTCCCACCCTTACACAACACAAGAAGCTGCTGAGCTGACTGTACAGTGAAGCCTCCCAGTGGCTACAGAAATATGGGTGGCTGGAGTGACAAGACTATGAAATGATGCCACTCTCCCTTGTGCAATAACCTGAACTTTTTTAATGTGAATTTTCAAAACCTGAGGTCACTGTTCATCTACCATCACATGGCTGAAGTGACAGCCATCCAAGTGACCAGGAACTCATGCTCCTGTCACAAGAGCGGACTTTTGCTCTCAGAAACCACTGCTGACCTGATGGGTTGCAACACCACTATGTGCTCTGTCTGCTTCCAAGAACTTGAGGACAAAGGCAACAGGATTATAAAATGCTCTGGGAGGTTGAAGACCTCCCTTTGCCTGCACAAGGCACAAAGCCAGGGATAAGAAATGCATTAACTGATGTGGTGATTTCAAGTTGGACTATGATCAAACCTTTCCTGCTCTGGCAGAAGGCAACCCTACAGTAATATATCCATATCTTGAAATACAAGACTGGGTTCCTTACCAGTTTAATTGATGTTGGGTTCTCCACAACAGAATGAGCTGGCAAAGGTAACATAATGAACTGTGTAGCAGGTGTGGAAGAGCTGCTCTCTTCAGTATCCTAAAATGAAGTGTAAGGGAAATTACATGCAGAAAATGAGGCGTGAGGTGTTCTGCATTCCACCCTTTCACAAACACTACAACTGAATGCACACCTTGAGGATCTATGGGACCAGGAAGCAGGAGAGAAGAGTGACCATTTCAAATGCAACAGCCTTACCCTGTCTGCTCTGTAAGTTATCTAACTCTTTACATCTTGAAACTGTTGAAATCAGCAGACCCAAAACTTTACAACGTTTTCTGTAACAGATCCCCAACACCTCAAATTAAATGGACTCCCTTTTCTCTGCAACAGTGAGAAAACAGTGCTCAAGAGCACAGAGAATATTTCTTCACCCCAAAATCTTGGAAGCCACCTCAAGTACTGTTAAAATAATGAATAATTTTAAAAAATCAACCTTTGACCAATCATCTCAAGATATGAGTGACAGCAGCACGTAGCAGAGAACCTGCAGGCAGAGATGCAGTAAACGCTGAGTTAAAAAGCTGCTACTTGTCACACTACTGAGCAATACAAGATCTCCTGCAGCCACCAAGAATCTCAATTACAACGTGATAAACAGCAGTCAGACACTTCTGGTGAGAAGCTGGCAGGATTTGGAGCATTACTCCAGTAACTCACCCTCCCAGTCACCACAGCCACCACAGACACACCATCGGGGATCTGAGGACGGGCCACAGCGATGCTCCCACTGGAGATGTCTGCAGAGCTGCTGACCAGAGTCTCCTCAATAACCACCCGGGTTGTCTGATATGGCTGCCCTTCCATTTCCAGAGAAGCCTCATCCAAGAGGACATCTCCAGCCACTTTATCTGTCACAGGCGCAACGTAGTGAGAGAGAACCTCCGATGCCACCACTTCTTCCACAGCCTCTGACTGACTGAAGGAAGTGGTCTCTTCTGACAGTCCTTCAATGGCAATGCACTGCTCAGAAATGCCGACGTGGCTCGAGTCCACGGAAAGGACATTTTGCACAGCGTCATGGGAGGCGTTTGTGATGTTGGTGGAAGCTGTCCCTTCAGGTGCTGCCTGACCCTGTGTCACGTGCAGCTCCAGTGACTGCCTGCTCCTGTCCTCTTGAAGAGTGGTTTTGGGAATAATTATGTAATCTGAGCGAGGAAGAATCTTGCGGAAACCTGGAATGTCTGGAACTACCGCAGTTCGAGAGGACACCTTGGAGTTCTGTTGGCAGAAACAGGATGAAACAAATGCATGAGAGAAAAAGGGGGATTCAGTTCTCGGTCCTCCACGAGTATTTTAGTGCTGAAAGCTCAAATGGCTCCCTCAAGTATTCTACTAGAGTTCTCCACGTGACAGCTTGGAGTCCCTCTCAGCCCTCATTTTATCGTCCACTTCACCATCGATGGCTCTAACATAACACAAAAATAACTACCATTCCCATCAGCATGAACTGACACATCTGTCTCAAATTTCAAAACACTATCCTCTGACTGAAGAGAAGGCAAAAGAAAGGCACTGCCTCACACACTGCTTCCATACAGGCAGTCTGAAACAAAAATACAAACTGGATCTGCAGTTAACAGTTCTCTTACGGTGCTGCATAAGCATTTAAGTGCCAAAACAAATACAGCCGTTGGCACCTCTCTTCACAAGGCAAAGAATGACAGAAAAGGTGACTTACTGGGTCCAGTCCCTCTTTCTCCAGCTTTGCTTTCTCCAAGTAATAGCTTTTTTCAGCCACGCTGAGCAGCCTCCAACTCTCGCTGATCTTTTTGTTGATTTCAGATTGAGGGAGGTGAGGAAGCTCTTGCTGTACTTTCAAGTAAATATCATAATAGTAGAGGAGGTAAGCAGATCTGAAAGGCAACAGACTGAGAAATTAATGTCATTCTACAGCAACTACAAAAAAGAAAAGCGCAAGGTTTTACACTGGTTCAAGGTCAAACTACAAGCATGTGAGATACATTTCTACATGTAAATGCATTTTTAAAACTGGAAGAAAGTTAAGATTCTGAAGAGAACTTTTGCAGTAAGGAGTAAGACTGAGTCATGTGATTAAAACTTAAGAACAAGCAATGGCAGCACTCACAAAGGCATGCCAGGAGCCCAAAGGCTGCCTTTTTATGTATGTTTGGCACTAATGTGTTCCAACTGCACTGCAAAGTTTATCAACTGGTAGAAGGAAAAACTGTTCCCACACTCAAGATTAGGTTGAATGTCGGGGGAAGCTCTCTACTGTGAGAGTGGTGAGGTGCTGGAACAGCTGCCCAGAGAGGCTGTGGATGCCCCCTGTGGATGCCCTGTCCCTGGAGGTGTTCAAGGCCAGGTTGGATGGGGCCCTGGGCAGCCTGGTCTGGTATTAAATGTGGAGGTTGGTGGCCCTGCATGTGGCAGGGGGGTTGGATATTCATGATCCTTGAGGTCCCTTCCAACCCTGGCCATTCTGTGATCATAAAGAAATGAAGACAGGAAGAACTTACCTGGGTTTTTTGGCTTTTTCTCCATGATCACCAGGACTTTTGTATTTCTTTTTCTTCTTGGAAGGCACTGGTGATGTGTAAGTGTAGGTGTCCTCTATTTCCTCCATGACCACAGTGACTTCAGTGCCATCGTACGGAGCCTCCATCGCTAAAGACACACACAGCGTCAGGCATTCACCTACACAGCACTTTCCTCCCCACAAACACTGCTCTTTATCACCCTTGCGAAAAGACAGCGTCACTGGAAGGGTTGATATCAATTAAGATAATGACAGCTTCCGATTAACTTTTAGAAGAGAACACCTCTGGCAGCGTTCCGTGCAGCTCAACACAACAGGAGCACGCGTGCGCTGAGAGCCACAGCACCCCGGGAACCTCCGAAACAGCTCTGGCGGTGCGGGAGGATTCCCATCCCCGGCCGTGTGACCCAGCAGCAGCGCGGAGCCCTCCCTCTCCCGCGGCACGGCGACGCAAGGCCTCGGCTCACCGGGACGCAGCCGCGGTCACATCCCAGCCGGGGCGCGGCGGAGCGGGGCGGGAAGCGGCGGAGCTGGGGGCCGGGATGGGGGCGGGCGGAGCAGGCCGCGCATGCTGTGCCGGCCCCGGGGGAAGCGGCACCGCTCCGGACCCGTGGCTCCGCGGCCGCCCGGCGCCGCCGGAAGTGCTTACTGAACTGCTTCCGGGTCGTGGCGGGGCGGGGTCAAAAAGCGGTGGGGGGGAGGGGTTTGTCGTTGGGTTCTGGTTGCGGGCTCTCGGCTGGGATGGGTGGCGGTGGCACTGAGGAGGGAAAGGGCTGGGGTGCCTGAAGCCGGCATAAATATCATCGTAGCTCGGCCCTGCCTGCTGTCCCGGGGGGGAGCAGGCCTGGCAGCTGCGGGTCGGGGAGCCCCGGCTGGGGGTGTGACGGTCTGAGCAGTGCCGTACGGGGAAGAGCTGGGGGAAGAAGGATGTGCTGGCAGGAATTACAAACGGGCGGAGTCTGCCGGCAGCACCTGGTAAACGTGAGAGCTGCGGAGCCCCGTTTCGTAGCAGCTTTCCTGTCACAAAACGCAGTGTCGCCCTGGGGGCTGCCACCGCTCCGACTGCCGTGGGATCTTTGGGCCCCAGCGTTTCTTTACCAGCGTTTCTCCTGCGGATTTGAAGCGGAGACGTTGCTGTGCATAACTAATTGTCTCCTTGCTTTACACGAGCACTGAAAGATAAGCATCTGGCTCCCCAGGGAACAAATAGCCTTATAGGGCTATAGGCGCTCGCCCTCTTCTTCCAACCATTGGGAAAGTGAGATATTATGGGATATCTCAATCCAGCTCCTGGCTCCACAGCTATCACGCAGCTATTGTTCTAACACGTTTTTTAAATTAAGCTTTTTGTGTTTTCTTTTTTTCTGTGCATGTCTATTTCTGTGTTTTACATCATGCGTTCTAACTTTAGAGAAATGTAAACCGCATCCATCTTCTGTCTTAGATCTGGGAGAATAAGGGCTCCTCTTGTCTAGCAAGTCGTTAGTAAAGCCCACAGAGTAGTGATATGACAGCTAGTATTAAATCTGCAACTGGTTATTTATCTTCCTGATGTTCTGCAACCATTTATGTGGTCTGCTCGTGTTTATGTGTGATAATTGGTGGCAAATTGTCTGTTCTGTGTCAAATGTTGGGCAGCTTAATCCAAACCGGTACTTTTCCAAAGCTCTGTACTTTTATCCAGATCGATAAGCGGCCATTAGAGCTTTGTTGGAATTATTACCTAGCCAAATATTTGAAAGAAAGGGCTGCTTGGCTTCACGAGATTAATGAACTGAAGAAAAAAATACAAGAGGAAAAGTGTGAAGGAAAGCAGCCATGCTTCCCTTGTTTTTCACAGAGGAGCTTCTCACAGTGTGTGTGTTGTCAGTTGTGTTAGAAACTCAAACTTTTTCCTAACTTGGGTATTTTGATTCCTTCATGGAGACAAAGCTTTATCTCAGAAAAATGATATTAACAGCATGTACGTTGTTTTAACTGTGCTGCAATAGTATTGTGAGCAAGAGGAAGCTGCTCTGCAACCACATCTGTTGTGATCCTGAGGAGAGTTCCAAAGAAATGCCCACTACCACAGAGGGAAATAGTGTTCTGCCACCAGGGCACCCTGTGCACCACTGCCCTGAGAAACTAAAGGCCGGAGATTAAACTCACTATTTGTTTCACTGATAAAGTACAAGAGCTGCTCTGAAGGAGTTCAAAAGGCACTCAGGCATGCTGAACCACAGCAGGTACCAGCACTTGATTTTGAGTTGTCTTCAGAGTTTGTTTAAACCAATGAGGTATGGTAGCAGGTTATTATTACTTCCAGCCATCCGGAGCGCTCACATCTGTGAAGCCTTGCAAAGCTCAATCCCACCTCCTGCTGAACCAACATCACATCATGCAGTTGGGGCTGAGGCACCTTTTCCCAGCGAGAAACATGCAATTGAACATCATCTCCACATCAGACCTCAAGCAGCACTGCTTTCCAAGATGCTCTCATGAAACCCACCTCTGACTAAAGCTATCAGCACTTGGCACAGCAGCGAGGACAAAAACCTTCCAAGAACTCCAAGAGTTCAGTTCCACAGTGGAGAACTCCAATCACCACCAAGAGCAGCGCTATCCACAGCCATGGGGGTGTGTGCTCTGGTCACTAGGGACAGTTTTAATTCACCCTTCTAAGCCAGTTTAAACCTCCTTGAGGTGCACAAGAATGCTAGAATTGATGCCCATGGGGTTGTGCTGCCATCTGAGAGCAGACACACACACACACACACACACACACACACACACACACACACACGCACACACCGAGTTCCACCACGGCCCTGCATGCATCTGCTGCAGCTCTCAACCCACCACACTGCTCAGCCTCTGTGCTGAGGGTAACTGCAACAACGTGGCAGAGCAGCAGTTGGAGGAACAGAGGCAAAGAAGGAAGGAGCATCTGGCTGCCTGCATAAGGGTAAAGGAGCCCCCGTTCCATCAGAAATGTTGCAATTGAGACGTTACTATTTTTAAAATGGCACCAGTGGAAAAGCAAAAAGGGGTTTGTTATATTTCAGATGAATTCTGGTATGTTCGCAAGGACAAACATCAGGGATCTTAGAAATGTTAACATCTGCAAAGTTGCTATTTATATGCACCAGTTTCTGGCTCTGGAACGTGGTCGCCTTTGTCTTTTTGAACAGGTAATTCATGGCACAGAATCGTCAAACGAGAGAAGGGACCAAAAGTGACAGGCTTCATTCAAATTAGGTAGCAGGAAGTATCTTCTTGTTTTACCCAAATCAAAGTAACTGTTAAACTGGGAGAGTTACTGTACCAGCCTCCCATTGAATCTTCCAGGATCATAAAAATCTCATTTTCTCAGCAAGGCTGCTGTAGCCTCGCATCGTGCTTGGGGTTTTCTGTATTTACAAAGCAGAATCTGCTTCTCTTCTTTGAAATTGCATTGGTTTCCGTGTTGCCATTTAGCCAAATCTATTTAACAGTAGTCAAACTAGCACAAAGTAAGTGCACTTCTTTCAAAAGAGGTTACATAAAGCATTTCTGTGACGTTCACTTAGATTTTCCTAAACAACAAAATCAGAACAATGATTCACATTACTTCTCTATTCTCGTTATTTCAGTAGAATTGTTACCAAGGCTTAGAGGTGCCCTTCGCATTTTGAAGTAAAATTCAATCCCTACCCAATTTTCTACAAAATGAGGTATAGCAGTATTATATGTTAGGTGACGGAAATAATAAGAGGCGCAGTTAAAAGGGCTAATACTGTCTAGAGAGTTTATGAAGAAGAGAAAACTGAGCTGGGGATGTGCTTGTGTCATGGCAAACTGCACAGAAATGGCTGGTTTCCCATTGCTTCTTTAACAGAGTCGTTATCTTCAGGGCAGTAGATGAGAGGATGACACAGAGCCAGCACAAGGCCTGGCAGCTCACCCCCCTGAAGGCAATGAATTCTGCCCTTCTGGCAGTTAGCAGCTGGGAAGGTTATTATTTTCCAGTATTCGTGCTGTGCTGCTCTCTCTGACGGAACGCATTGCTTTATTTCTTTACAATTGAGTTAAGTAGCATGTAACAGCTCTTCTGACATAAGTCAAGATAACTGCCTCCATTCTTTGCTGAACACGGTAATGATTTTGATCCATGTTGTGTTTTTTTTGTCTGCTGTTCCCTGAGCAATGTGTTTGCCCAGATCCTTTCACAGCTTGTGAGGTACAGAAATGTGTTTCAATGAGTGGTAAACACATTTGTTAGGAAGGAGCTGCCACTTACAACATCATCACCTTGGGAAATTAGGGTGTCCTTTGTGCCCAGCCTGGTAAATGTGATAAGCTTGACTTTATCTATATGGTCCTCGAAGGAGAAGCCAACTTGAAGACTTGGCATTTGGGGCTGCAGCTCTAATATGACACTCGAGCAGCAACGGTAGAGAAATTTACTCTATGACAGTAATTAAATACAGTGTACAAGGCAGGTAAACAGTGCTTTTCACTCCCCATTTTGATAATACAAAAACAAAACACAAAGAGATGTAAAAGAATACCTGAAGGTCAATACTTCATGATCCTGCTGTAATTGCTCGTTGTTTGACACAGAGCATTGATTCTAGCCATACCTCTGTTTGGGAAGGGAGTGGGATGAAGAAGTGTTGCAAGGTTAACAACCGTGCAATAATGGGATTTATAATGACTTTCTCTACGTCCTACAGCTTTCAGTGTGTTTGCATCCCTGAGAGCTCAGGGCAGTCTTGCGTAGTACTTAAGGTGCTCTAAAAAGTGAGCTTCGTTGGGATGGCTCTTGCACTGTCCCCACAGGAAGCGAGATTACAGCAGAGGAGACCTTCAGTTTGACCCAGACTGGCTGTCCCTGAGCTCTTGTTTGCACCCATGACGAGTAAAATGTCATCTGAGACATAGGGCACAGCCAGGCCTTGCCAGTCTCATCCCTACCAGCACAACAAATGCATTGATATCATGGGTCAGTGGTTGGACTATGGGTTAATGGTTAGACTAGATGGTCATAATGATCTTTTCCAAGCTTAATAATTCTCTGATTCTATAATGATTCTGTGATTCTCAGCTCGAGACCAGTGAACTGGATTCAGACAGACATCTATTCCTATCCCAGTGGAACTGCAGCATACAGGGCTGTTACCCATAGCCATAGCAGTCACCAGGGCAGCAGGAATCCTGCACAGATTCTGTCTCAGGAACACTCAGCCAGCAAGGAAAGAAAATCTTCAAATTCCAGTTGAGGTCGCAGTCCATATTTTCTGGCTGAAGATATCTGTCTTTATCTGCAATGCAGATAAAAGATCCACGTGGCACACACTGTAATTGATTTGGTGCAGGAAAAGGTTTGGTACCTGCATAACTGCCAAAATTCAGGAGCCTCACTGTATCACAGCAGTGCTGGCCCTCACCCTGCTGGATTAAAGCTGACATAGGTAGGCTGACAGGAGGTATGGCCACGTCTCCCTGCAGCGTGGATGTGCAGTAAAAGGTTGCCCAGCCACAATATCTCTCCTGGCATGGCACTGCTTGTTGCCTGCACCAAAGGTAGGACTTGTCTACGTAAGAGACAGCAGATACTTCTCAAGAGCTGAGCTGAGATTGCAGACTGAGCTCTCTCAGGGCCTGGGAGCCTTGATAAACTAATTTCAAAGACCTCGGGTACCAGTACAGTGAGTCTGGGATGTGCAGACCAAATATGAATCCCTCCAGAGCCGAGTTTGTTCTCCTTCTGCAGCGTGTAGGAAAACAACAAGGATCTGGTTTGTTCTCTGATGTCATGGTTGCAGTAAGTCTGGATGCTGACAGTGTGCAGTGAGCACTGCTGCTGGACCTCGAGCAGCACAAGCAGGACAGAAATCTGCCCGGTTCCCATCAGCAGCACCTGGTGGTTTATTGCCACACCGGTGATCTGCAGCACGGGCTGATGTGCCACACAGCCCAGGGGAGGGCCAGTTTTCCTGCATACAAAAAGCAGCTCCAGCTGTCAGGTACTAAAGGTGCAATTCTGGTCTCTGTGATGTTAATCTAGTTTCAAACAGAGCAACAGAGAGAGGAATCAAGTACCATGATGGTTCACAGCGACTTTCAGAACAGCTGCATCTCCTGGTGTCTCCAACAGCATAATGCCACATCTCTGTGCATTACTATTAATCTTCACTCTTTCCACTGAGGAGAACATCAAAGCTCCCACACCTGCACCTCCTACCTGGGATCTGCCTGCTCTCTCTCCCCTCTCCTTGGCGGTTCTCTGCTCCTTCTTGAGCTCCAGCCCTCCCTTATCACATGCAGCAGTTGTCTGTTGATTACAAGAATCAAAAGAACATTGAGCCGTGCACAACGGAGCGTTTCTAAATGCCTGCAAGCCCCTGGCAAGAGGAACTCGGTGTCAGGGCCTCTTTTCACAGAGTTCCTCGCAGTGACTTGGCACATTCATCACTCTGAAGGGTTCCTGAGCACAGAGACACACAGCCAGGCTGCCTCCAGCCCTCAGCCCCAGTGCCTTCCAGCACTTCTGTGAACTACAGAGTGGGATGGGATCCAGGAACGAAGTCACACCCCCAGGCTTGTTTGAACAAGCTCTGGCAAGCTTATGCTTCCATTCTGAAAATACACCACTACCAAGTGCCAGCCAAAGTCGCTGCTTTGTCGCACTGGAGAGGCTGCACCTGTTTGTTAATGCCAAAAGGCATCTGTCTCACACTGATTAGCACGAGCGTGTGGCAATAAAAGGAGTAACTTCTCTCTAGCATGGTGCTAACTGTAAAACTCAACAACTCCCAGCTATTATAAAAGAGCCACAAATATCCCAGAGAGCTTATTGATACCACATTGTGCTAACCTATTGCCAACAGTTCTGTAGAGAGAAAACATTTCAAATCAAAATAGATCGATTAAAAGTGCGTATGCTTGCACTTCTGGACTGCAAACATCAGATAGGCATGGGGTTATAAACACTGAGCAACAAAAGTATAGTACATTTTGTTTAGGAACCACGTTTTTACTCGCTTATATAAATCACCAGTTATCTGAGTGAATAACGGAGGAATTTTGCTGCAGAACTGGCATTCTGGTTTTTGAGCTGGCCCAGTGAGAAGTGTGCGCGTGAGGAAGGAGTCAATTCATTTATTTCTCTCAGGACAGTGCAGTGTATCAGAAGTAAGGGGGTATGACCAGACAAGATAAGAGGACTAACAAAGGGAAAATATAAGCTGAGAAACAAAACCCAGCTTCCCAGAGCAGGATCCATTTATCTGTGCAGCAGCCCGATAAGAAACCAGGGGAACGCATGGCTTGGGCTCTGGGGAACATTGCTCGAAGAGACAAAGCGTTAATGAGCGCACTGGAGAGGAGGAGGAGGTTCTGCTCCAGCTCTGCCATTTGACAGGGCTCTTGGGCAGCCATGCCCATTAGTGCTTGCTAATGAGAAATGAGACTGAGCTCAGACTTGTGATTTGTCTTTAGTAGTGGAGAAGTAGGTTAAAAATTCCAAGGAGGACGGGAGCACCTAGGGAAAAAGAAAGGGGTGGGCTGCTAGCACTCATGTAACAGCCAACACCTTTGGGGTATCCTCTGGAGGAGGGTTACTTTAAGATATGGTTCTATGGAAAGCCAATTACCCCAACACCCCACAGAGCCTGAATTCAAGAAGTGCCCATGGGATAGAAAAACAATAAAGAATAGAGCAAAATAAATGTCTCCACCGGTAATTGATGGATGCAACATGGACCACAGGTCAGTGAAACATGACCCAGTCATAAAAGCCAGCGCAGCAGGCTGCACTCTGGCTTCCTAATCTGGCTGTGACAGATGCTTTGTCTCAGCAGGTCGCCTCCACACTGTCCCAAAGTTTTGTTGGGTAAGCACGTGATGTTGTAAATCTGCCCCATGGCCAGGCTGCCCCATGCTTCTCTCCTGGCTTCTCACTGATGCTGCAGCCCAGGGTTTGTCATCATCCAAAGTGGCTTCAGCAAGCTTCTTCCAATTCCATCTCTTAGCAGTTGTCAGGGAAGGGAATACAAGACAGCATAAGATAATGATACAAATTGGCTAAAGAAGTGCTTTTTTAATTGCCCTCCTTGGAATGTAAAATAATAGGGATGGTATTTTGGTAGAATCATTCTTGTCCAAACCATTCAGAAATACTTGTGAGCAGTGGAATGAAGACTGTGGTCATTCTTCAGTAGCATTCGTGCTCTGTATTGAAAGCAGCAGATGCTGCTGGAAAGTTCCAGGCACTGTGGCCATTAATATCCTTCCCACACCTGAATGCACAGCTCATTGCTTTTTTAGAGAATCTGGAATAAGTATTTACCCTCGAGAATTCAAAATCTGCTTTTCTATTAGTATTTAACAGCACTTTCCAAGGAAGATCTGCCTTCTTAGTACACGACTGATGGAAACATAATTATTAAGTGTGCAATTACAGTGCTTCTTCCTGCAGTATCACTATTCAGCAAACAGGTATGACATGTTTCGTGAGCCTCTGGGTGCTATCATTGTCTTGTTCCACAGAAGAGGAGAGTAAGGATCAGCATTTCATGATCAGCTCATATAGGATTTGATAAAGCTGGAAGAAAGAACCAGTTTGGTTGTTTTAACTTTCTGTCTGCAGTATAAAGAAATACAACATGACACAGTACAAGGAAGTAGAATGTAAGAGCTTTGGAGCAAGGTAGCAATTAGAGGTCCCCTGAATAGGAGATGCCTGGGACAGTGGGGGGTGCCAGGAGAGGGGAGTGCAGAAGGAAGCACAAGAAATAGTCCTGAGGTTGGCTCAGAGGTTGGCCCATCTACGAGGCACCCGATTCCTTGGGAAAGGCCATCGGCGGTCCCATCATTTGTGTCCCTGTGTCCTGGGGCCACATTCGTGGTGATGCTGTGGACATCCCCAGAGCTGCAGGCATGGGGCAACCCTCCCAAGGGACAGAACTGCACAGGATGGATGCAGATTGTAGGGTAACGTTTGCCTTGTGGTTGTTTTCACCTCAGAGGTTTAGAACAGTACTGCAGAGTGCAGCTGCTTTCACTCATGTAGAAACAGCCATTGATGAGTCAGAACATGGGAACAGTTCTGCTGTCAGCCAAACAAAGACCCTGGGCTGCTGCCCTCACTGTGTTTGGAAAAGAATCGTTCCCAATTATGCATTCCAGTACACATGATTGCTCTGAGAACCAAACATATTTGCAGGACTCTTTTACTGCCTTCAATCTTTTGTTTGCCAGAACTGCTGGCTGTGGAACACAGAAAGTCCAGGGGAGAGCAGCAAGAACAAAGAGAGGTAACAGCAAACAAACGCTGTTAGGAAGAACAGAAAAAATAATTGGCTGGTTTTGTCTAGTGGGAATGAAAGAGATACATGATAATAACCTTTAAATATGTAGAGGTGTTATATTATAGAGTCTTACGTGGTGCTGTGTGGAGCCAGGAGCTGAACCCAATGATCCTTGTGCGTCCTTTCCAACTTGGGTATTCCATGATTCCATGGTCAGGAGACAAGAAGTAATAGATCTCACTGAAGGAGAGCTGTTGGTTAGACATTAGGAAGGGCTCAGAGCTCTGTGCAAGGAGTGTGTCACATCCCAGGAGCGCCAGGAGAGGTGAGGCACCCTGCGATCAAGAACAGGTTAGGCAGAGGAGTTCAGGTCCCTTTATTTCCCATGATCTTTCCTCATACAGTATGTACCTGATTAAAATACCACAGAACGTTTCCCTGCTGCCTGGGAAATCACAAGAAGTACTTTAATAGCTGCATTTCTGAGTTCTTTCCAGCTGTTTTAGCTGCTTGGGCTGCACAGATTAGCTCATAACCTTTTAATAATATAATTGAAAAGAGCAGGACTTCCAAACAAACCACTGTGTGTACAGACCCAGCTACCACTGAGTTTGCATGAAACCAATTGGAATCACACACAATGAAGGCCTGCAGTGCCATGCAGACTTGTTGTAGACCAACGAGCCCCGTGCTTTAGGAAGACATCTTTGTGGGCATCTCATCTGATTGCACTCCTTCAAGCAGCAGACAGTTCCAGTCAGTTCTTGCCATGCCAGTTTTGCGACATTAGCTTTGCTAAATTGAGTCCTGCAGGGTTGTGTTGGAGAGTTGACATCTGCACTTTGAAACTGATGCAGACAGTCATGTTGAGGAGACAAGCTGAGCAGTGTGCAGACATAAAGTGCCTTTCGCTTGCAGGAGCCCCAAGAGATGCTCCCAGCTCAAAGTTCCGGGGATCTGCTGCCAGTTCTCTTCCTCCTCAGCTAAGCTGGTTGATTTCTCCGAGGTGCAGGATGTTCTCAAATTCTTCCAAAATATGTGGGAGTGACAGTTGCCGAGTAACAAGAAGTCGTCACTCTTTTCCTGAAATGCTCAATCCCTCACGTTTCTGTTTTGTAGAGTGGGCAGATGAAGCTGTGAGTTGGGCACCAGTCTAGGACCAGGATTGCTCAGATCTCAGCCTTGCCCTTGGGTAAATCTACTGGGTCAGAGTTCAAAGAGAGGAAGGGATCTGACTACCTCTGGACTTCATAAACACCATCAGGGATGCATTTCATGATTCACTGAACTGACTCAGTGTCCAATGTAATGAGATTGTGGCAATGATGCTGTGGCCATGGAGAGGCTGCCTAGCATTTCTTCAAGAGGTGCTCTTCCCCAAGAGCTCTTCCCACATCACACACCAAGCAGAGTCATCATCTAAAGCTGACAGATCCCACCTCTTCACAGGAATTAGGAGGAAAATTCAGCCCTTTTGATATCTATGGGACTGGGCAAGAAGAGCAAATGAGATGATTGGGAATGGAGAAGCTGCCTTAGGAGGAGACATGCTGAGCTGGACAAAGAGAAGGATGATAGCACGAAGATTTACAATATGAAGAATGTAGTGGATAGGGTGAATGTTATCTGCTGGCCAGCAAGTGCTGCAGTGCCAGAATGAGAGGACATTTGCTGAAATTTGTAGGGGATTCATTCTAACAGACAAACAAAAATGTTTCTGTACAAAGTGGGGAGTGAGCTTCTGGAACTGGCAGCCTCTGGAGACTGTGGGAACAGCCAGAACGGTCAGGGATGGCAGATGGGAACTGTTGAGTCACAGCCTGAGCCACTGATTGAGCAGCTGGGGAAAGGACCAGGTCAGCCTGGGAGCACAGGTGAAAGCCATTCAGGTATGCAATTGGAAGGGGTGGAGCCTGGCTGCACCTCTCTCAGACCTCATTTAAGGTCTGACAGCCACTGGGGAAGGATCTCCCTTGTGGAGTCTGTCCTGCAAGCCAAGATCTTCAGAGATGGGTGAGCACCTTTACTTTTCCTTTGAAATGTCATCCTATCCACGTTGGTCCCTTTGGTGTTACACTCCTGTATTGCCCTTCCACGGTGTTGATCTTCCAATTGTAATAGAAGTCTAAGATCAGTCAGTGAATGAAAAGCCTAGCGATGGATGCCCAATGGTCCAGACAAAAGATTCCCTCTAAGATCTCTGATACAACCATAGTGGTTGCTAGCAGTATGAGCCACCTTCAAATTCCATCCAGGGGCACGTCCTCTTCTTAATGTCTTGAAATCTCATTCTTTGGCCCTTTGGCCCTCTTCCTCCCACGCAGCAGCAAGGAGAAGCACCTTGGACATATCCTGGATGCAAACAGTATCAGAGTTTGTGGCACGTTGTCAAAGTGAATGACACAGCAGAATGACGTGGGAACGGCTCCACGTTCGTGCACTTCAATAAGCTGGTTATAAACAAAAGGTTTCCTCCTCTAATGTTCCCGGTCTTTGCTGCCGCACTGGAGAGGACTGAACTAATGAAGATCTATCTCCTCCTGTGAGCAACATGAGGAACTGTTCCTTTTATATTACACTAAAAAGAACGTAAACCAGAAAAGGCGTTTTTTGCTGGCGATAGATCATGAGAGGCACTAAGGTATTGCTATTAGCAGTGGAAAAATGCTTTTCTCCCACAGCCTTCTTCAGCCCTATATCGTATAGCACTTCAGCAGAGGGTGTTGGGATGTCTGGATAGAAAATGAAACAGAAGATAAATTGGTACCTCCACTGGCATGTGAGTGACTTTGTCTTCCTTGGATTTGTCTTCTAACTTACAAAATGAGACCACAGATAACGACGACTTTACAAACCTGCCCTTCTTCCCCTCTCAGCCCCTCCTGAACAAATCCCTTGGCTGAAATGAGCTCAACGTGAAGATAAATGTTCTGGCAATAGTGTGCAGTATTATTTTTGGCACTTGAAGAGTCTCAAGCTAGATAAGGGAAGACTGAAAGGAAGACAGAGCTTTTCTTGTTATGTGTGGTTTTGTTTTCCAAATGCAAAGGACCAAATTCCAATCAGACATTTGAACACGCAGTCCTTTCCTTTTCTGGATTACTGCAGTGATTTCTGATTTTTCACCACATTAGCTGATTCTGAGGCTTTATTTCAAACCCAGCACATTCGGAGCCTGGATGAAATCACACAATAACGGAGCTGAGAGACAAAAGCATGCAAAGGCAGTGCCAACTCTATGGCTCCTGCCCAAACAAAGGGCTAATTTGGCTTCAGACACAGTTTGCTGTAGAAATGATAAGATTAACACCTGATATCAGGGGAAACGGCTGAGCTGCCTGTGACCTCCTTCTGCAGAATGGCACTTCAGCCTCTCTTTTATTAGCACACCTTAGAGGAGCTGCTTCTTCACACAGATCCTGCAGAGCCTTTGTGGAAAGCTCGGAGCACTGCTTCTGCAGGTACATCTGGGGGCATGTTGAATAAAACATGTGCCATTCGACACTGGGCTGCCGTGGGTAATGGGAGAGGGCACGCGTTCCTGCATGGCAGAGGGCCGTGAGGATGGAGCTGGCCTTTACAATAGAAGGATGAAGCATGGGGACACGCAGGAGTGGCTTTGATTCCAGCAGAGCCCTGAGCAAAGAACCCTGCTCACCCTGCATTGATCTAAATGCCTGCTGCATGTATTGCCTGCAGACAAGGGAAAATAAAAGCCCCAAACCTTTGCTCTCTGTGTGAGCGTGAGCTTGTTATAGACACAGCTACCTGGGAAATCAAAGGGGAAGGAATTATCAGAGCAAACTATGTGTTGCAGAGGTGGAAATTCCAGTGCTCAGAGAGCCTCAAGCACGGCTTCTGTTCTGCTTTGTCAAGCCTGCAATTTGATGCGAGGCACTGAGACTTCTGAGAGCTCCTCAGCAGCCTGTAAGGAGGAACAGGTGCCTGCACTGCTCTTTTAAATGAAGATGTTGCCACATCCCAGCTCTTGTGTTCTTCTGGCACACGAGCGATCGCTGCACGGAGTGGTCAGAGGCAATCGTGACAGCCTGTGGGGTATTGATTTACTCCAAACAGGCTTTGCAAAGGAGTCTTGCTCCCTTGGTCTTTGCCTTCTCTTCTGTTTGGCAGCCGGCGCAAGGCTGCTTCCCATCACCAGGGGCGCTGCAGCTTTCCGCAGGGATGCGAACACAGCTGAGAGCTATTTCCCTGCCTGGATGTGGAAGGATGTAACTTTTCCAAATAGCAGGGAAGGAACAGCAAGCTCATAGGCAGAAATCCATTAGTAAAGCTGCCTGAGTGCATTAAATAAAGCAAACGGAACTTTGCTGTTACACTCAAGTAAATAGTTTCTCCTTCTCAGTTTTCTCCCTCTGCTCTATAAATGCCATCGCCAGTATTTATTTGAGAAGAGCTGGGATCTATTTACTTATTTATCCATATTTAGTTTAAAAGCCCGGGCTCAAAATTAAACAGCCATTCATAATGTCATTATCTGCCCTGCTCTGCGGTCAGGTTCTGTATGTGGTGTCACAGGACAAAACCTTTGGCAAAGCCCTGGAGGAGCAGCTTAGCTCCTCATCCATCTCATCTGGCAGCACGATGGGCTTCCAGGCTTGTACTGCTGTGCTGCTTTGTTCTGGCATCTATCATGGCATGGTAAATCACTTTCTGAAATGTTTATTGGTAATAGTTGAATTCTTTCCACCCATTTAAGCTGCTTTTGAAAAATAAACATTTCCTTGTGCCTTGGAGTTTGATGGAAACACAGGGAGAGTTCCTTGGGTTGGAGAAACGACCGGTTCATGAGGTAGGGATGGAATTTACCAGTGCTGTGGAGGAGAATATCCTCCTCTTCCTGCCAGGATGGCGTCTCCCTGGAAGGAAGCAGAGGTTGCTTTCTTGTACCTATTTAGGAAAGCGGAGGAGGAGGTCAGAGAGCAGAAATAGCAAAGAGATTAAATTCATCAGCATAACAGCCAGGAGCCAATGTGGAGAGCAAGGGCTGGGGGCAGGTCAGCCTGGGGGTAGGCAGAGCAGGAGGTTGTGTGCAAATCCACTGGGGGTTACCTCTCAAGGACTCCAGTGTGACAGCCCCACAGCTGACCCAGGCTGGTGCTCTCAGTGCTCTTACCACTGATCCTTGCTCCTCTAAAGGCCTAAAATCAAAGTTTTTCTTTTCTTTTTGTCTGTAATGAGGAAGTCTGTTGAGTCCCTCTCCTGCATCTGGGAGTTACTTTCCAATCTGATGCACGCTGACTTTGGAGACGGCACCAATGACAAGCTGCTGAGATCACAGCAGCAATCAAGCTTCCTTTGATGGCGGTGCTAAAAATATGTTACCAGCTGACAGAGCCTCGGGGGAGAGAACATAAAGTTTGGTTTGAAAGAATACTTCTTCCTTTGTGTCCATGCACAGAGGACATCCCCTGTGTAACAAACATGCAAGTGGGTCTCTTCCGAACGGAAGCACCCGTGTACAGACCTGTACTACCTCCAACCCCACTATGAGGACGGCTTTAAAACCCTCTGAGCACTTTGGAGGACGGTGTCACTGACAGTTTTACCTCTCTGGTCAATCCAGCACTAATTGATATTGCATGGCAGGAGCTACATCTCAGGGGCTGGAGAAAAGTGCCTGGCCAGTAGCCCAGCTCAGTTTCACTTTGCTAAATCCAAAGCGTTGGCTTGCAAGCTCCCTGGCTGATGAAAGGTAGCTTGTGTGTCACGAATTGTCACGCCAGAGGTGTCCCTGAAGCCCTGCTTCAGTATCTGTAAAAGAAGCTGTGATGAGCAGTGTCACCTGCTGGGCCTTCTGGGGACAAGAGCTCCTCCTCTGAGCTGTGAATACTCAGATTCATGCCAGCACTGTGTGAGAATAACAGAGTGAGTGGCTTCAACAGACCTGCTCCTCTGCCACGGCCCGTGGAGCAATAGAATGACCAGCTGTGCTCCCAGATCTCCTTCCCCTTGCATGCACATTAGCTAAAGGTAGGTCCATCGTGCTTTTGGTAGGGGCCGTATGGACAAACAAGCACACACAGTATTGGCTCTCTGTTGGTGTGTTGTATGTTGGGAGGTAAAAGATTGAACAATCCAATTTGGCCCATGGAAATGCCTGAGAGGGAATGTTTAGCTGGCTAAGTGGAAGCCCCTTCCATGATTTTTGATGATTCTGCATGCATCACGGGAAAGGAAAAATTCACTTGTGTGGTCAGAGAGAAATACACCAGATTTATTGTACTGAGAGATACAAAAGGTTTTTCTATGCGGCTGCAGTAGCTACATAATGTTTCCCAAAAAAGGCATTCACCAAGAATGTCTGCGCTCAGTCAGCCTCGGTTCTGGAGGTGGACACCCCATCCCTAAACCTCTGTGGGTCCATTGCCAGCAGCGTGCCTGATGCTCCCATTTAGGGTGCTGGCCCTGAAGATGTACGACCTCCCTCTCACTGAGCCTTCGGTGTGGATGCTTTCTGGCTTGTTCTGGCAGCGGAAGAACATGAGGAAGCCATTGCGATAATTCTTGTTCATCCATCCGTAGAGCAGGGGGTTGACAAACGTAGAGCACATGGCTCCCACGTGGAAGACAGTGTACAGCAGTTTGTATTCATGGAAGATAAGAACCAGATCAAGATCAATGGCAAGCTGGAATATGTGGAAGGGTAGCCAACAGACTGCGAAGACCACAACTACCATCACCAGCATTTTGGTGGTCTTCCTCCTCCTGCAATGGTTTTCATTCCGAGATGTGGGACTGACATGGTTTTTCAGCTTGAACCAGATCCTGGTATAAGCATAACAAATAACTGCAAGAGGAAAAACGTACTGCAGGAGGAGCATGGACAGGCTGTAGATAGTGGCATCTCTGTTATTACCAGAAGGCCATTTTTCGGAGCACACAGCCATTTTGAGGTTGATAGATGGGATTTCCTCGTAGCGGAACTCTCTGAAGATGGCCAGAGGACCTGCTAGGATGGCTGCAGCCAGCCACATGATGGCTATGATGGTGAAGCTGAGCCTCCTGGAGATCCTGCTGTCCAGGTGGAACACAATACATCTGTACCTATCCAGGGCAATCACAGTCAGGGTGAGAGTGGACACGTGAACGCTCAGAGCTTGAGCATAAGGGACCAGATGGCAAAGAACAGCTCCGAACTTCCACTCATCCAGCAGCGTGTACACTAGGGTGAAAGGCAGACAGAGGGTGTCCACCATCAGATCTGCCAGAGCCAGGTTAGCTATGAAGAGGTTGGTCACAGTCCTCATGGTTTTGTACTTCACTATGATGTAGATGACCAAAGAGTTGCCAATGAACCCCAGGAGGATGATGAGGGAGTAGGCAGCAATCAGAACTACCTGGACCCCTGGGATCTTGGTGCTGTCCATCATTACAGTGCGGGACCCAGAGAGATCCAGGCTGGGAGTGACGAAGTCTTTAGTGTGCCAGCCCTGTGGCAGCTTCTCATCTAATGCTAGCTTCTCCATGATGAGGGTGCTGTTGGCTCCCTGCAGCAGTCCCATGCCTGGCTTGGCACTCTTGGATGGGAGGAGGAGGTCTGGAACACAGACACAGCAGAAGTGAGAGCAAGGGAGACAACAGAGCATCTGCAAGAGAGAGACTTAATGAATGTGTCCTACACAGCGTTCCGGGCAGTGACACCCTCGTGCCTTCCCACTTACCCCATTAGTTAGATGAATGCCAGTTCCCCAAGGAAACTGGGGCTCATGCTGCTTTCCATGAGTTCCTGGGATTCTGTTTTTTAGTTGTACAAGGCATAAAGTCAACCAGGATGAGACTGTAGGTCCTGAGAAGACCTGCTCATAAAGCCTTTCTGCACGCTGCCTCACTGCTCCTTCAGGCTGGGCTTTGCAAAACTGGGAGCTGATTTAAACAAAGCAAAAACGTGGGACCTCTTGGTCATCTTCAGATGGCAATATCTGTTATCTTCTGATCTCAGAAGCATCCTATGCTGCTCCCACCACGGGTGCCATCACCTGAGCATCCCCGGGCAGTGGCTGGCATTGCAGAGCTCCTGCTGGGAAGCGCACGTGCCGCAGAGCCGCGCACAGGCAAACAGCCGGAGCTGTGAACAAGCATCCAGCAGAGCTGCTGCTGAGAGCCAAAGCCCCGGCGTCAGCGAGCCTCTCCCCATGCCATACACAAATGTCTGTGAGACTCTGGCTCTAGGAGTGAGGGCCTTGGCCAGTGAGCCAGAAGTGACTCAGCCAGGAACCTGCGGTTGGCGTTTGGTGCCATCGGAACGGCCGAGTGTTGGCACAGAGGGGCTTTTGTGCGGTCCAAATGCAGCAGGAGGAAAGCCAGCTCTGTCATTAGCTCCTTCCCAGCCCCTGTGTCTCTGAAGTGCAGCTGGCATGTGAGGGGAGGGGTGTCATGGTTCCCAACACCCCTACCTTCCCTTATTTCCATCAAGGGAGCAAAAATCGTTGCCTGGCCCAAACTGGGCTGTTTGCAGAGCACTGTGCTGTCTGTGACCTGGCGACGGAAGAGGACAATGTTCTGCCACGGAGGGAGGGTGACATGAGGTTTAAATGAAGGTGGGAATCAGGGCAGCCCCCTGCTCACCTCAACCCCCTGAAGAATGAGCTGCCCCTGTGTGATGGGAACACAACCAGCCAGGTGCTGCAAAGCTGCTCCTGGAAGCTGCCCTGCCTGCACACCAGCTTTCTTCTGCCCTCTCCACACCCTCTGGCTTGGCTATCGAACTCCACAGCTGGCTGCTTTGTGCCAACCATTCCTCCAAATGAATCTGCTGGCTCAGCTGCTGCGATAATGGAGAGCACAAAGCTGCCGCCCAGTGGGCAGGAGTGCGGTGAGGGGCCACAGGGCCGGCGGGGGAAAAGCAGTGCTGGGCACGTCGCTGGGGGCGGCACTTTCCCTGTTAGGTTTGTACACTTCCCAGGCTGTCTAGCCTCACTTTATCACTGCCACTTGTTACCTCTTTTTTTTTTGCCTGTCCCATTTACCTGTAGTGCCCACATCCTGGCGTGACACCAGCACACGCTCCTTTCCCTCCTTCCCATCTCACCACCAGCACACTGCTGCATTCCATTACCACATCTGGGGCTGTTTCCTTTCGCTGCAGACTGGCAGCCGCCCCCCATCAGCGAGGAGCCAGGAACATCAGGGTTATTGGAGCTGTTTCGGTTCCTAACAAAACAGCCTTAATGGAGCTATTATTTGATTTGCTTTGCTTTGTGTTTTTTGATATTTTTTTTTTTTTCCTGAAGGGGAGCTATTAAAAATCAATTAAGGCATTTTAATTAAGAGGCAAAATGGTAATAATAAGTGTTCCTCCTCCAGGGGCAGCCTGGAGGTTGCAGGGATGCTGCTGGAGTGGACCATGGTCTGTTCTAGTGAGTAATGGAAGCGCTGGCGTATGTGTATGCTGTTGCCCGTGCCCAGCAGGCCTGCCAGGCAAGATGGAAAAATCCTTGGAGCTGAGAGCCAACTATTTTTGGGAGAGAAAAGCAGCAAAGCAAGGCCAGAAGGAGGCAGAAATACCAACGAAGCCAGAGCTGGATGATGGAAATCTCTTTTTCTCTCCCCAGCAGCAAGACTGGGTCACAAGCAGGCATGCTGCGTGGGAATAAAGGGCACAGAAAAGAGGGAGGCAGGGACAAAAATGGCTCAGAGCACGGCCAGGAATCATGATCCTGTCATGGCTGTCCTTGACTGGGAAGGGGGAGTGGAGGCACTCAGGCATCCCCTGCTTTCTGCTCCCAACCTGGCTGATGACAGCCACGAATCTCTTTCTATGGCAGCACTGGAGCATGAAGGCTGAGGCTGATGGATGTTTTATGGCTTGGCACACGGGTTTGTTCCATGCTGTGTCCTTTCTCCAAAGCAGCTCAGCTCCATCAAACCCCCTCATCTCTAGCAGCCTGCTTTGGAGCATTCATCTCATCCCCATCTTAGCAGCTGGTGAAGCCCCCTTCTGCCCGCGCTTCAGCACAGCATATAAGGGAAGAAAACACAATAAAATGGGATGGTTAGCAGAAGTTAACCAGCCTGCCTGAGGCCACACAGAAAGTCAACGTCAGGCTGGGAACGTAGCTCAGGTTCCCTCCAGTCTCCTGTACTCACCACCAGGGAGGAGGCAGCATCTCTTGGGATAACTAGAGTGGCCAAAAAGAGATGAGAAGAGTTGCATGAAAATACAATGTGTGAGTGATGTAGGGGAGGGGGCTTCACCCTCTGTGTGTGATGTGCTGGTTTGAGGGCAAGAAGCAGCTCTGGAATTATATCTTGAAGCTGAAGTGCAGGTAGAAATTATCCTGGGCCCCTCCATCTCCAGCGAAGGGGTAATTGCCCTACTACAACATTATGGCAGAAGGGGACACAGTACTGCAGGACATGCTGTGGGAACAGGGCAATGCTGTCCTGAGATAGCACAGCGTGACAACATGATGGGGCAGTGCACCTCATGAAGGCTACAGAGGGAAGAGAAAGGCCTGCAGAACGAACTCGGCTGCCCTGGGGGGTCTGCAGCCTTCGGGAATGTTTGGGAGTCTGGGACATATGAGACAGCAATCCCACTAACAGAACAGCCAGGGAGCAAACCCGCTGTCCTGCTTTGGGACAGACCAGAAACTCAGTTTTCTGGTGAAACACGTACTACAAGAGGACCAGGAGAAACTCTGTTCCACAACCAACATGCAAGTGGAGCATCAAGCAAGCAAGCACCAACTTCTTTCCTGCAGCCCTCTGTCTCCCTGTGCCTCTTTGTCCCTGAGGGCAGTGCTGAGCACCAGCAGCATGTGCAGCACCAGTAGCAGCTGGGAAGCTGGCAGAGCCTTGCAGAAAGCCACGAGGAGCTGAGTGCAGGAAAGGGGGGGGGTTTCCTCAGCATCTCAGCAGCACTGGGTAGCTGTACCTGCCTGGTTTCTGCAGCCCACTGCTCCGCTCTCACTCAGCATCCCACTTCCCAGGCTTCCTGCTTCTGCTTGGGAACTGTTCAAAACTCACCTGGCAGTATTTCTGATTCACTTTCTCTCTCTTTCAGCTCTCACGATCCCTGGATTGCTGGGATGCTTGAACCACGCAGCACGGCTGAGACCCGGCCCCAACTCACCCCTCCCCGACCCACCTGTGTCCTTCTGGTTCGGAACAGCTCTCCTCGCACTACGACCTCATCGCGGGCTGGGACCCGTCCCGTCTTCTCTCCTGGAGTCAACCTGTGGCCAGAAGGTGGAAAACACTTTTCTGCAACTGGCTTCAGAACGGCGAGGAAGTCAGGCAAGGATCGGGGCTGCTGCGGGGTGCTCCATCACCCGGGGAAGCCTCGGTGCCCCGCTGCCTCAGAGGGATGACTGACAGCCCCCCGTCTCACGAAGCTGGATGCCGTGTTAGCTCCTGAATGAGAGAAAGGCAGGGAGCGTGTGTTTAACAAACAGAAATGGAAAGGGGGAGGGAGCCTGCTGCTGCTGTTTATACAGTGCTCAGCCACTGAGGGGCTTCTTGCATCGAGGAGACAGGAGCTTTTCCTCCACATCCAGCTCCCTCTCCAGGGACAGCTTTAGGATGGGGCTGTGCCACCAGCTGGGTGAGCATCCATCCACCCCACCACACAGCTCCCCAGTGGCAGGGCTGGGAGCGGGATCGGGGCTGGGGTCACAGCCCAGGGTGGGCAAGCAGAGGGTCTGCAGGTCCCACAGCCCAGGGGAGCCTTCGCCATCCACCCCACAGCCACCTCTGCTCTGTGCTCACATGGCACCTACAGGAGCATTACGAGCAAACCCTTCTGTACTTTGTGATACCAGTAAAGGTGATGATGAGATGTTTTAGCCCCTTGGCAACATCTGTTTCTGTTCCAGAGCCAGATTCTGTGTGGAGCTAGGCACCAGAGTGAGCTTTTGTTTTAGGGTGCTCAGCGCTGCCCCAAAGTAGCAGCATGTCCAACTTTCCAGAATCCAAGCTTGCAGGAACCCAGGAAAGCACTCTGCAGCCAGCACAGGGAAGCAGAAGGAACAAGGCTCCCTAACTTGCCACCTTGCTTTTCTGAAGAGAAGTCAGGTTTGTTTCCAGTGCAGGATTTCCAAGTTGGACAATGTGTTTGAGTCACTTCACCTAGGCAAGGAGATGTTCCCAGAGCATGGGGGGGAGAACAGCCCCCTCAGCTCCCAGTAACAACACGAGGTCATCGGGGGAGTTTTGCTTCTTATGCACATATCGGGATTTGTTCTCCTTTTCTTTATGAGAACACAAACAAGGAGGGATTTCAACTGCCTTCTCATGCCACAGAAGTTGTGATATGGTAGGAAAAAGCTCCGGTGGCTCAGCAGAAAAAGGAGACTGAGAGCAGTCCCACAGTAAGTCCCTCTGCAGGAGGCTCTTCGACCCGAGACTCAGGCAAAGGTCCCTGCGATTCCCCTTCTTCCTCTTTCTCACCCATCTTCCCCAGACAAACACAGCTGTGCCCTGAGCATTCCTTGCCTGGGAGTTCTGTGTCTTCTCCCCCAAGGAGTTTTTGCTGAGCTGCTCTGGAAGGCAGAGAGGACCCTGTGTTCCTGGTGGACGGATTCTCCTCATCCCCAGGGCTCACAGCAGCATGAGGCTGATTTCTGCATGAGTGAGAGACTGTCTTCTCCCTCCTTTTGTAGTGAAAGATTTCTCTGGTCTGTTCCCCAGAGTCCTTTGCTACAGCTCCCTGCTCTTCCCTTCCCTGGGATGCAGCAAAGTGAGAAGCGCTGATGGACAGCAGAGAAACTGCTCATCCTGGAGCTGGGAGCCCTCATCAGGACCATGGGGTGCATTCCAGTCATTTTTGGCACGTGGCAGTTTCTGGATGTCAGCAAAGGCAAGCTCTTAAATCATGGATTAGTGCAAGTCCCCAGCCTTGTCCTCTCCCACGGTCTCAGCAGAGGGGTTAACACCAAAACCCACCATGCAGCCAAGCATCACCTCTCCAACCATGCAGACAGCTTTGTCAGCAGTAGTGCTTGGTGGGCCAGAGCGTGGGCAAGGAGAGCTGTTGGTGACCCATGGAGGATGCTCCCCTACGTGACCCTGAGGCTCCATCACCCCAAGGAGAGGTGCTGGGACTGCTGCCTGCATTCCTCCAGCCTCGTACCCCGGGGTTTGAACATATGGGTGTCCCAGGAGCCTCATGTCCTTTTGAGCACAGCGAGATTGCTCAAACCATTGCTGCAGCCCCAAAGCCTTTCCCAGCAGCTACAGGATTTGATTAGGCAAAGGCAGGTCTGCTGCCATGGTCATTTGAGAATTCAATAATGAACGTTGTGCTCCGGAGAGTGAAAATGATGTCAAAAAGCCAAGAAATAGGGCAGAGCAGAGGGATGCTTTTCATCGGCCCACAATGCGTCGTGTCTCTGTGAGCAGGCAGGTCCTCACTCTGCACACCTTGCAGCCAGCTGCACTCTGTAGCTCTGCTGCTGTCATGAAAGGCACATTATCTGATCGCTCCTGGGGAGAAATTGCTGAGAAATCTGTTACCAAGGCTTCCAGATGCTCCAGTTCAACCCGCTTCATCTGGAGCTGCAACACTGACACACTTAAAAAGCAGCTTTTCATTTTTCAAGCATCTGTTTAATCCCACCTGCACGTAACCAAAATATTTCCACTGCTCCTTCCTGTGGTGTCAAGCCTGTGTTTGCCGAACAGCCTCAGAAGCAGCAGCATGTTGTGGTTACACAAAATCCACTTTTCCATTTGAGCCCTTGAGTTCACGGATGCAGTGGATTTGGGAATCTGCAATGCATTTGGGAACAAAATTAGCCACAAAGCTGCTCAGAGGTGGGAGGGAGGATAGAAAGCTGTCTGCACTCTCTCTGAATTTAAAAGCAGGTTCTCATTTTGTAACTGCTTTTTGTCCCCATCTGAACATCTCTGGAATTAGTGGAGGAGCAGCAGTGGGGATAAGGTTTTGCTGAAATACCAGAGCAACCTGATGCAGGGATGCAACCACTCTGCCCTGCTCTGGGACAGGAAGGGACGGGGACAGGATGAGGGTCAGGGAACCAGGGAAGAGGAGAACACATGGAAAGTAATTGGTGGGGTTTGTGCCCTAAGGAAGAAACCGTGCTTCAGCTCCTGGGAGCAGACAGAGAGGGCTCATGGGGCTGACACCGAGGAGGGTCTGCACAGCCACCCCTTCCCAGCCCATGTGCAGGCAGAAAAGCATGGTACTGAGCAGCCCTGCTGTGCCTTCAGCTGCTGTTTCTGCAAGTCACTGCGCTTAGAGCTCGCCTCATTTATTAGAGGGATGTTGCTTGTTGTTTGTGTACCGAGCCAGCTAGAAAACAGCTTCTGCAGAAGAGGATAATTGCAGTCAGATAAGCTCTTCAGAGCCGGGATTGCAAAAATATGATACATTGTACACAAGCCGTCGTCCAGATAAATCAGGAATCTGGCTGAGTTCTGGGGTGGGAGTGTGATTCCGGGTCTGCAGCGGACTCCTAGCTGACTTTGGGCAATCACTGCCTGATTCTCAGCTCCCTGCTGAGACCAGAGGTGACAGCAGTGGTGACATGCACCACACCAGGGTGTGCAGGGAGGAGCAGCAGGGGCAGCCCTGCCAGGACAGCCCTGAAGTGCTCCTTCTGTCTGTGGGATTTCTTTCCTAGCGGTCCATGTCACTCCATGTCACATGTGCTACTGCCAGGGGCTTGCCCTCCCAGGCTGGGTGCTGCTCCTTCTGTGGGACCACAATGAAGTGACAGATATGCAGCCAGCCTGTCACTCCCAAATGCCAAGTGTGCTGAATGGGTTGGTGGCAAGTCTGAAAGCCTTTGGACCTTGTGTGCATCTCTCCTTCTCCTTTGGGGACCCCAGTGTGGTGAGAATGGGACCCTGGCATGCAGGACAGATCCAGCCCCGGCGTTTGGCCAAGACTCATCTTGGCTCCGTGTCCCCCAGAAACGTGACTCACAAGTCTGGTTCCTCAGGATGGGGCTGACACTGAGCCCCCCCTGGGAGACATCAGTGTCCCCAGGGCACGAACGGAGCATGCACAGGCTGTGCTAGTGTGCACGAAGCCATATAAAGGCAGAGCTTTCCGTTTGTCCTCCTTTCAGCTCTTCCAGGCGATGAAAAGGACAGCTCACAGCCCTAATTAGCTGGGACACGCTAATACCGCTGAGCTTCCCTGGCCAGCACACTTGGCACGAGCAGCGTGGGACACTTTCCAAACAGCCGCTCAGGGGAGCGCGTGCCTGCAATTCATTATGCACTGAGCAGCTTTTCCTCTGCCTCCACCGAGGAGTTCGGAGCAGACACGAGAGGTCTGGAGCTTGCAAATCTGTTTGGAAATCCTTCTGGGGGTGGGGAGAGAGGAGGTGTATTTCTCCCTAGGCTTTAGAAGTATTTCAGGTGCATGAGGACATCGGGCTTTGCACTTCTAATTGCTGCAGCCTGTGGCACTCAGCTTCCCGTGGGGAAAACATTGCTCTTTCAGGGCGACATTTGCTCTGGGCGAGAGGCATACAGCCTCCTGGGACACGTGGGGTGACATCATTTGTGACACCATTTGCAGGGCCAGCCCTGGTGGTGAGAGAGAAGGGAGGGCTTTGCAGGGCACGCAAGGCAGAGCGCTGGCTTATTCCCCTGGAAGATGAACCTGCACTGCTCCCACTGTGTACACAATCAGCTGGTGAACTTTGAGTGGGCAGCAAAGGGCTCTGAAATAGATCAATTCCTGCCCGTGGTAAGATCGTGATGGGAAAACCCCACAGGTGAAAACCTGCTTTGGGCTTGGCTTCAGCCAGGCTGCCTCTGGCACCTGCATCCTTCTGGGATAGCAAAGCCAAGGGAAACGCTCGTGTCCGATCACTCAAGCTTTGCATGCAATGCTGCACTGAGAGGTCTTCTTCTACAGAAAAACCCCTTGGGATAGGAGGATTGCATGACAGTAAATGAGTTCCCTTCATCTCCACTGAATGATCTGAAGATTTTCACATGTAACAATCTGGGGATGCTGTGTAGATTTGGGCTCTGTGGTCCTCTTTAATGCAAGCAATGACGGAGCAAACAGCCTGGAACCAGCCAGGGAAAGGCCATGTGGGGCTGTGCTGCGACTGCGGGGCTGATCTCACAGCTGCTGTGTGCTGGCCATGGAATATGGGTGATAACCCACAAAGCACTCGAGCACCTTGAGCAGCCAAGCCTGTCCGGCCAATTTTGCAAGGTGAGCTCAGGATGACCTTCCTCTCATCCGTGAGATCAGAAGCACCAAAAACAGCAGGGGAGCATTGAAGAGCATCACCTGAGGGCCAGGTATGGGGTTGGCTGAAGGGCTCAGGCACAACTCATGGCAGGGAGGGAAAGCTGCTTTGTGCTGTGTGTGGAACATCAGAGGGCTTTCATGCACAGCTCAGAATAAACAGGCAAACAAGCGGCAGCCAGAAATGTTAATATTTGCAGAAATCTCCTGGTGGATGGCGCCGAGGTGTGGGGAGCTGCAGGGCGGCGGTGGAATGCAGGCATGGGGAATGTCACACCATGGTGTGGCAGTGCTCCTGGCAGCCCTGCAGGATGGTTTACACAAGGCTGGACTGGGGAGTTCAGCAGCCATGTGGATCTGCCCCTAGAACTGAGTTCTTTGAGCATTCCTGGGGAAAACACCATGAGGCAGCATCATCCACCTGTGCCTGCTGCAGGACCTGCTTCCCACGTGCCATCACCAGTGGGCTATGTGCTTGGCTCTCCCTGAGCCCAGCAGCTCAGAGGAACCCCAGTTCTGCAGTGCAGAGTGTGTAGCATGAGATAGATTGGTCCGTGCTGACCCCAAGCCTTTTCCGTAAGATCCTGGACACAGGCAGGACAGAATGGCGCTGACATTTCTTCCATGCCATGATTGGGATTTGAGCCTATGATTTGAGTCGTGATTTGAGCCTATTCAGTGCCTCTCAGCGCCTCCACCTGGTGCTCACCAGGACCATGGTGTGGGTTCACCCACTGCTTGGGGCCAGTGGGACACCTGCATTGCACGCAGCTCCACTCTTGGCATCATTCGGGTGGTGAGGTGGTGGACAGTCATGTGGTGGTGGGTGCCCCATCCCTGAGAGACATTCAGGCTGGACCTGAAGCTCTGAGCACCCAATGGAGCTGTGGGTGACTCCATCCATTGCAGGGGAGTTGGATGGACAGCCTTTAAGGGTCCCTTCCAACTCAACTATTCTTCAACTATCAATGGGAAGAAAAAATACTGGCAAATAATGGCCCACTCCTTGGGCACCCTTCTCCTCCAGCTATTTATCCAAAGATATCTTATCTCCGAGCATTGCTTCATTTCCTGCTTGCTTTTCCAACCAAGCCCTTTAAATCATGTTCCCGCGGCTGAGGTCACAGAGGGATGCATCGTGTTCGTTATGGGGATGTGGCTGTTACCTCACTTCACCTCCTCTCTCCTCCTTTCTCTTTTTCCTTCCTGCTGGCTGCTCTCTTCTCTGTATCTTTTCCCATGGGCTGGGGGTCAACCCAACCTCTTAGGGCCTCCCCACAGCCACCATCTACACCAAAACAAAGCCAAACGGAGAAATGCCAACACTGGGAACCTCAGCCCTTCCTCTCCCTCCATCTGTTGGACCCCATGCCTAGTGGTGCTGCTGACACCAGTCCCTGCAGGGTTGAGCTCCAATAAAAAATGCACTCCACAAAGGCTTTGTGGCCCAACCTGGGGCATTTGGGCCGGGCTGCTCAGAGGTGCCAGCTGCGGGAAGCACTGACAGAAGGGAGATGCCAGGAGTGCTGGAACAAGAACTGGAGATTGGGGACACTTGGCAGCATGTTTTCAACTGGCAGATGGGAGCCATGAGCAATTGGCTGGTGGGTTGTGTCCAAAAGGTTACAGTAAGTGAGGTTCCATCAGGCTGGCAGCCAGTCACTGGTGGGGTCCCAGTTGCCCTCTGTCAGCACTGGGACCAGGGGAGCTGGGCCAGCTCTGAGAGCTGCAAACCCGGGCCAAAAGAAACCAGGAAAAGGGAAGCAAGTTGAGCAAAAGGGATGGATTCCCCCAGTGCTCGTTTCCACATTCTCACTGCTCAGGGCAGTGCAATGCAAGGCAATGCCAGGCAGCATGTGACAGTGCAATGCAATGCCATGCAGCATGTGACAGTGCAATGCAATGCCATGCAGCATGTGACAGTGCAATGCAATGCCATGCAGCATGTGACAGTGCAATGCAGTGCCCTGCAGCGCTGTGACAGTGCAATGCAGTGCCCCGCAGCACTCACACACCGCAGCTCCCCTGCACCCCACGAGGCCCGGCCCGCTCACACGTGACCACGTCACATGCAGAAGCCCAACCCCATTCCCGGGCTCAGCTCCCGACCAATGAATGGAGGGGCGGGCGGAGCGTTCGCGCGGCGATTGGTCGAAGAGGACGTCAATCAGCGCGGGGCCGAGGACTCAAAGTTGGGAGGCGGTGGGCTGCGGGCCGGACCGGCTGTGCGGGGTCCAGAGGTTCCCCAGGGATCCCAACTTTCTTCGCCCGGCCGGGAGGTCCGAGCGTCGCCGAAGGAAGAAAGGGGCCTCGGTGGGCGGCGGCGGGCGTGCAGCGATGGCAGCGGGCGGTCGGGAGCACAGCCTGCGGGAGGAGCTGACCTGTGCCATCTGCTGCGAGCTGTTCAGCCAGCCCGTCATGCTGGACTGCATGCACCACTACTGCAAGGCCTGCATCCAGCGGTACTGGGCCAGCGGCCCCCGGGTCGCCTCGTGCCCGCAGTGCCGCCGGCAGTTCCCCCGGCCCACCTTCCGTACGCACCACCTGCTGGCCGGGCTGGTGGAAAAAGTGCGGCTCTGCGGCTCCCAGGAGCACCGCCACCAGGTGCAGGTGAGCCCCGAAGGGAGGAGGGGATGTGCTGCTCCGGGAGCTGGGCCCTGCAGCAGTCAGTTCCCTGCAGGATGGTTTCTTTAGCGAACAGATATCCCGGTCTGGAAGTCCCAGTCGTTTGTAGAATTGCTTGAGTTGGAAGGGACCATTAAAGGCCATCTGGTCCAACTCCCCCGCACTGAACAGGGGCACCCACAGCTCCGTCAGGTGCTCAGAGCCCCTCCAGCCTGACCGTGGCTGTCTGCAGGGATGGGGCACCACCATCTCTCTGAGCAACCAGTGCCTCACCACCCTTCTCATAAGAGAACTTCTTCCTTATATCCAGTCTAAGTCACCCATTTCATACCACTTCCTCTTGTCCTATCACAACAGACACTGCTAAAAAAAGTCTGTCCCCTCCCTTGTTGCTTTTTTGGAAATCCAATTGTGCCTTCCCTCCAGTGCTGGCTTTGAGTTGGCTTTGCTCTTGAGTTGCAGCAAAAAATCGAAAAGGGATTATTTTCTTTTCCTTGTTCCTGCAGAAGCGCCTGGAAGAAGCTTTACAAGCCCATCAGAAGGAGATGGAGAAGTTCTTGCAGCAAAAGCGTGCAGTGCAGGGAGATATCTGTAGCCTGACGGTAACTGCTGAGCCAACACTCTTCATGTGCCCTCCTGGGTGGTGGTGGGTGTTTGCCTGAGGGAAGCCTTCAGGGTTGCCACAGCGGTTGAACAGATATTTGGTCAGTGGCTGAGAAGCCTTTCTAGAAGTGAAAGTGACCATCTGTAATCCCAGTACTGGTGAAGACAGAGTAAGCAAGAGCAAAGCCCAGGGAAGCTTCTTGAACCTCACTGCCTTTTTTTATCTATTCTGCTGTCCTGTGCTTGAGCCAGCCTGGCTGCAGGTTTTGGAGTGAAGTTTGAGGTTAGATGGGCACCCTTGCTCTGTCATAAATCCCTGGGTTAACATTCACAGAGGAGCTGTGTGTCCATGTGTTGCTACTTGAGCAGCCCCTCTTCATCCAGCAGGCTGATTCTTTGAAAAGGGTTGAATCTTGGAAGCTGTAGAAACCTCTTATGTGTCTGGAGGGCAGGCAGCAAAGCTGGAGGGGCTGGATCAGCAGTGGTGGTGATGCTGCAGAGAGCAGTGGCCTTGCTACAAGGACTGCTTAGACTTACTGTGCAGCTCTGAGAGGATGTGGTATGCCCAGGTGTTTCTCTAGTGTTTCTCCACACTGGAGTAGTACCGGTCTGCCTGCTCATCATTGATCTCTGAGACAAGAACAGCCACAGGCTGACTAAGCTTCCTTGTTGAGTGGCATAGAAGTACTAAAAGACAAGAAAGGAAGGTTAAAGGAAAGAACAAGTAGTTCAGAGGTACAATTAAACTGATGGTAGAAGGTCTTCAGAATCAAGTCTGATCTGATGTGTCAGCACAAGCATCTGCTAAAGCAAAAAAAGAGGCTGGGGTGCCATGGCTGGCTGGTAAAGCTGGAGGCATACTTTGAGTGAGATCAGTATCATGATGGTAGAAAGGATGTGTGTTTGGCAAACTCAGCTAGAAAATAATGAGAACTAAGATTGCTCTTAGAGATTAAAAGCTTAAAGAGGCAAGAAAAAGTCATTGGCTGTGTCTTGTAAAGGAAGGTAGTGAGAGCACCACAAGGTTGACTGGCCAATCAAACACCTTAGAGAGGGGAAATGCTCTCTGAAGAGACTGTAACAGGATTTTATCAGCCGTAAGTACAGAGATTATTTGGCACAGCTTTCTCTAGTACAAACTAAGGGCCCTTTGGAACTGAGGTATTTCGGGGAAAACAGTAGCAAGTTGCCAGTGTCAGGACCTCTGCTTGGTGTCTGGCATGATGTGAAATGAATCCTAACCTGAACCATGAAGTAGGCAGCTCCAGAAAAACACAAGGGCTCCAGTATAAAATATTAAGCAAATTCCTGATGGTGTGAGAAAGGGCTGTGAGCTCCTACCTGCATGCAAAGATTTTTAGTTAAAGCAGCAAAACAATCAGTAGAGCTTGGTGTTCCCCGTGGCTGTATGCAGCCTCAGCAGTTGTCCGTGTCTAATTCTTCTTCCAAAAAGCTGTGGGTATGTCTGAAACTGATTTTTAGGACTCTATAAGCAGAGAAATGTGCCCAGCCATCTCACATGTCTGTGTGTTTTGACTGCCAGACTCATTACTGTTGTCTTCTGCTCAGAAAGCATCTGGGGAGCTGAACTTCAAGATCTGGGCAGAGTTCACTCGCCTGCATCAGATCCTGGAGGAAGAGGAGAGAGCTGTGCTGGCAGAGCTAGGCAAAGAGGAGGAGCAGGCACTGGCACGGCTGCATGGGGACGTCCACCAGCTGGAGGAAGGAATGGCAGTGCTGCGGAGAGATATGGAGCACCTAGAGCAAACCCTGAGCAACATGGAAGAGGTGTCATTGTTGGAGGTAAGCGTGCTTGGCTGGCTCTGGCAGGAGGCAGAGGGTTGTTTCCAGACATTCTTCTGGGATGAAGAGAGTCTTAAATGACACACCAGGCTGTAGCTGGAAGTTGCTCTTGCTGCCATCCCTCTGGATTGTCTGCCTGACTCCTTTGAGTCTGGAGGCCTTGGCTACCAGGGGACAACGATCCCTTGGATGTGATGGGTCTTAGAGGCCTTCCTCCTTCTGCCACCCCTGTGAAATCTCCTGAGCCTCAGTGCCCAGCCAGCTTTCCCCAGGGTGGAGGGGGTCCTTGCAGCTTGCTTTCCTCTGCTACGTGACAGTAGAAGTCAGGACAGGGAGTTTATTTGTGCAGCTGCATGAGTTACAGACAATGACTGCTAATTCTCTCTGGTCCTCACTGCAGGTGGAGAGCCTGGATATCAGGTACGTGTCTGGCATGAAAGAAGCTGATTTCTCTGCTTATCTCTGTCTCTGGCTGGGACCATACGAGGGAGGGCTCTTATCTTGACTTCTGAAAGCATTGCAGGCTGCTCAGCAGACAACTGCTGCTGTGTCAGATGAGGGCTGGTCCGCAGCACGCGCTAGTGCTCTCCCTGGGGAACACGCTTGCTGAGACAGCCCAACTGGAGGGATTGTGCAGGAGATGTGCTGCTTGGGATGAGTGCAAGAGCCATGCGTGCTACAAATGGGAGCAGACTTCATTTGGGTGCTTGGACTTCTCTGCTCTTTCTCACAGTTTCTCGCTGCTCAAGGGTCTGCAAAACTGACGTTGAAGGGCAGGTTTGTCTGAGCAGCGAGAATAGCTGAGGGTAGCATTTCCTAGAGCAGTGCTGCTATGGAGAAGTGTCCCTTCTCTGCATGGGGGATGCAGCGTGGCCTGTGCATGGTGTGGGTGTGCTGGGTGATAGCTGTTGTGGGGCAGTGCTGTGCAAGCAGCAGTGCTAGTTCCAGCTCTGTCCACTCAGTCTGTCACAGTTCTACTCCTGAGCTGTGTGCTTTGCTTGCTCTGTGTCAAGGGGAATAAGTCACTGGTACAGAGATTGGTGTTCAGTCTTCACCAAATCTGTTGTGCATGATGATCTGCTGCACTCCTGAGTTTGTTCCTGTGCACAGGAGGCTCAGCGTTAGGACTGACCACCACTTTCTCTGCCCAGGCCTTCAGTGAGTGTTAAGCCCTCGCCTGCCTTTGACCTGCAGCACTACCAGGACAACCATGGTGGCCCTTTGCAGTACATCTTCTGGAGGCAGATGCTGCAGTCCATCTGCCCCGGTGAGCAGATGGGTGGGAGGGGTGGATGTGCTGAGGCTGTGGGGTGCAGCAGGGGGGCTGGAGATGCTCTGCAGGGGGAACATGTAACCTGAAAATGCTGTCCATGGCTTCTCCAACAGTTCCAGCCTCACTCACCTTTGACCCTGAGTCAGCCCACCCCAACCTGGTCTTCTCCAGAGACCTGACAGCAGTGACAGAGCGGGAGAGAGCCCAGCCTGTCCCCAGGAGCCCCCGGCGCTTCCAGCAGTGTGTCAACGTCATGGCCTCGCGCACCTTTGACTGCGGCCAGCATTACTGGGAGGTGTGGGTGGGCAGCAAAACCAAGTGGGACCTGGGGGTGGCTGCTGAGGCTGTGAACCGGGCAGAGAAGGTGAAGCTGTGCCCAGAGAATGGCTACTGGACGCTTCGCCTGAGGAACAAGACGGAGTACTGGGCCACCGCCACCCCCTGGGTGCGCCTGTTTCCCCAGCGGCCTCCCCGCAAAGTGGGGGTCTTCTTAGACTGCCAGGAGGGCACCGTGGCTTTCTTTGATGCTAAGGACATGTCCCATCTCTTCACCTTCCACGAGGTCTCAGCAGAGAGGTACTGCCCCTTCTTCAGCACCTGCTTCAGTGATGGCAGGGACAACGTAGAGCCCATGCGCATCTGCCACCTGGCTCTGTGATCGCTGGAGGGAGTAGGATGCTGTGCCCCTGTGAGAAACTCTCCTCAGTGTGGGACTGGGGCCACTTCTGCACCTCCACTCCCATGTTTAAAGTGAGCGGTGGACAAGAAAAGCGTTTGCAGTGCTGTTTAAGAGCTGTTAACCAGGTGCCGTCTGCCGGCAGCAGAGGGAGCTCTGTGCACGGCGCAGGGCCCGCAGCAACCTGGAGATAGCGGCACAGCTCTCTGCTTGGCCAGCGTTAAACTTTGTTAATGAGGCTCCTGCGTCTGTACCTTCTCCTGGATTGGAGGCTGTGGGGTTTAGCTAGACTGGAGTGCAGCACAGCCTGGGGCATGGGCAGCCTTGGACTTCCAGAGAGGGATGCCCAGCAGATTGGCTGTGATTTTAGGCCTGGGATGTGTGGAATTGTGTGTATCCCTCTGAAGGGTCAAAGCAGAGGCTAAGTGCTGCCTAAGGTGATGGCTGGAGCCTGTGACTTCCTCCTCAATGAGGCTCAGCTTTCTTTGCCCGTGCAGAACAGAACCCCAGGTGCTTGCAGCACATGCTGCTGAAACCAGTCACCTCTCTGAACTGCCTAAAACCACAGGAGAAGTGGCAGCTATCCCTGAGGTGTGGTGACAGCAGAGCTGGCAGGCGATGAGTGCAGTGGGGAGGAGGAGGCAGCCAGCTCTGCTGCTGCCCGTGCTTTGTGTGGGTAGCTGTGGCTGCACGAGCTGTGAGCAGCTCATTGCAGTATGTGCCAGAGCTACCACCTCCTACACCTTCCTATTGCCAAAAGCAGAGCTGGTGAGCAGCAAAACCTGCTTGTCCCAACTGCCTGTGCTAGCAGGCTCCTGAGGTAGCACACACTCCTCCCCATGCTGTGCTGCATGCAGGAACCACAGCACGCTGCTCGCTAGCAGAACTGTGTTTTGGGATTCAATGTCCTTGTCTGGTCCTGCCAGGCTGGGAGAGCCTGTGCCCTCCCCAGGACATGGCTGGTGTGCTCCTATGTGCAGGGAAACTGTTGCTCCAAGCTGCTGTATGTGTAGCCTCAACCCTGCATGTAAATACTGTCTGCCTTTAAACATTATCTCAGAAATGCATTTTGCCAATAAACCATAGTACTGTGGAGCAAAAACTCCAGACTCTGTGTGAGAGCAGTGACCTTTACAACCTGACTCTGTGTTTGGGGATGGGGAGAAGCACCTGTCTCTGGTCCAGCAACCAGCTGCGTTTTCCTTGTGGATTACCTTGTTCTGTGCCTGGTGTCTCAGTGCCACCTTGGTGTAATGTTTGTGTGGCTGTGCTCTGGACTGATCGGAGTCTGGCAGCTTCTGCTGTGCCTTAATCTCATTGCTTTGGGGAAGTTTTGCTCCCTTGGGCGCCCATCTCCGTGTACAGAAGAGAGACGAGCTGTTAAAATGGGATCCTTTTGTTTCCCAGGGCGGCAACAATGGAAAGGTCCCACTGGTCGTGCAGTTACCGTGTGTTTGTGATGGAAAATTCCCCGTTGCGCTGGGATGAGCCCTCCCCGCGTCCTGCCGTTAGGCGGCATCGCGGATGGGCCGGTCCGTGCAGTGCCGTGTCTGGAGTGCAGGGGTGGAGGTGCGGGAGCCAAAATCTGTTATCTTTGGGATACGGGAGGATTCCATGGAGCACAGCTCGCACCCTCTGCTCTTCCTCCTCTGAAACGCTGCCCAGGGAGGTGGGGGTTCGCTGCCTCTGGAGGTGTGCAGGAACCATGGAGATGTGGCACGGAGGGATGTGGTCGGTGGGGATGGATTGGGGTTGGACTTGGGGATCTTCAAGGTATTTCCAACCTTAATTATTTTGTGGTTCTATGATCCAGCTCTCCCGGGGTTAAAGACTCCCTCAGCAGGCCGGGGGTGCTGGGATAAAATAACGGTTGCGGTTGGATTCCCTCTGACAGCTCCAGGGAAGGGACGGGGTGATTTCTTCCCCAGGTTTGGCAGTGAAAGCAGTTGAGCACACAAGATGTTTTCATGCCTTTTAGAAGCCACGAGCACATGGTTCTTATTCAAGCTCTTTTTCTCTATTTGGTGTCTGCAAGCGTGCATAACTAACAACCCTGCGGGGCACAGCGTGGGGCTGTGTTTATTTATCCATTTGATGCTCGGAGGGCACATGAGCAGGAGGCTGGGGCTGCAATGTGCTCCTGAAGCTCCAGCATCACCTCCATGTCCACAGCCATGTCGTCCCAGTGCCAGCACCCTGCTGCCATCCACTTGCTGTGCCCCGTGGCGTGAAAGATGGGTTTGGGAAAAGGAGCAAAAGGAGAGGAGTGTGTGAGATACACGGAGCATCGTGGGGTGCACAGCCAGCAGTAGGATTTATTGTATGTGCTTAGGGGTATGTGTGGATGCTGAGAGCAGCACAGCTGCTGCCGGTGCGTGTCGACGGCCTGCAGGAGGGTGGTCCATAGTCCCTACAGGAACAGCTGCGTTTGCTTGCACACAGGTGTGCCCTCGGGGGTGCAGGACCGCGCGTGCACAGGTGTGAGCTTCCAGGGAACGCGCGGACAGGCGTGGAGATAGGAGCTGCGCGCATCCACGCGCAAGGTGTGCACCCCCGGGGCTGGGAGGCACACGCGTGGCGATGCGCTGAGCACAGCCGTGAGCCCCCGCCGCTGCTCGGAGCCGCAGGTGCAGCCCCCAAGCACCCCCTCCCCGCCGCCCCGCTGCCCGCCCCGTACCGCCCCGCCCCGCCCCGTACCCGCCCGGCGCCCCGCGGGGTTCGGCGGAGGACGGCGGGCGGCCCGAGGAAAAGGAAGCGGCCCCGGTGCTCCCTCCCTGCCCGCCGCCGCGCGTCGCCGCAGCTGGGGAGCGCCGGGAGCAGAGCTCGGGTGCGGGGCGCTCCGCACCGCTCCGCACCGAACCGCCCGCAGCTCCGGAGATGAAGAGAGTTTGCACGCTGCCCCTCTGGCTGTGGCTCGGCATTGTCTCGGAGGCAGGTGAGCTCTGCGGGGCGCGATGCGGGGCTGCACCGGGCACCTGCGGTTATGCGGGGGGTGCCGCTGCCCCGACGGGGCCGTTCCGAGGTGTCCCGTTCCGAGGTGTCCCGTTCCGAGGTGTCCCGTTCCGAGGTGTCCCGCGGAGATACAAGGAGGCACTGTTCTTAGGGCTGTCCCGCTCCCCACGCTGTTCCGCCGCTGTTCACCGCCCCGATGGGGCGCACCGCGGCTGTTCCCGACGGCTGTGACGCCGCGCCGGGGCTGCGGGTGTGCGCGGTGCAAGGGGGGGAAACGTCCTCGGAGTGTTACGGTGGGGATTCCTTTGCGGCTGCAGGGCAACCCGCGCTCCCTCCTTTATTGTTCGTAGGCAGAGGCATCGCTCCGAGCGCCGGGTGTAGTGCTGGGAGGAGGGCAGGAGGAGGAGGAAGGGATCTGTGCACCGCTCTGCCCGCTGCCCACCCTCCTCGTGGTGGTCACTGTGGCCCGCCTTGGACTCCCCCAGGACGGGGGGTTGGCGAGAGGCTGAGGGTGGCGAGCTGAGCCCCGCGGCTGTGGCGTGGGGCAGGTGGCTGCTGTTCCATTGTGAGCGTGGGGTGCGGACCGGGTGGCAACACCAGGGATGGGGCAGCAGAGCCCTAGGAAACTGGTGTGAGTCAAGTGCTGCAGATGGAAACGAGACCAATGGGAAGTCGGTAATGCGGGCAGAACGCAGGGGAACAAATTCAGGGGCTCAGATAGAATTTTTGTAGCCTTCAGCTCAGTGACTCACTGTCAGCGGTAGCATTGGTTCACCAGGAAGGCTGTGGGTCTGGGTGTGGGGGTTCAGAGCGGGCTATGGGCGCACAGCTGCAGTTGGCACAGCCAGCACGCCGTGCCCACACTGATATGGATGCTCCATTTCCAGGAGGGGACCTGCTGCGGGTGGCACAGCTGCTCACAGCTCTCTCGTTAGCGGTCTGCAAAGCGGTGTGTGGCTGTGCCAAATCCCTCCATCTCCCCGAGGTGCAGGGAGCAGTGTGGGGCTCTGTGTAGGTCTCACTCAGGGCTGCACGCTGCTCTGGAGCTCTGCTGTGCTGCCTGATGAGTGCAGCACAGAAGGGTGATGTGGAGCTCAAGCAGGAGACCGTACCTCCTCTGACAGAGTCATAGAATGGCATGGGTTGGAAGTGACCTTAAAGATCATCTATTATCTCTGCCTTCTGTCCTGCTGTACCTGAAACCAATTTTTCGATGCTCCCAACTACATGTCAGTATTTGCTCCCCTCAGAAACAGGGATGTGAGTGCAAGATTGCTCCGTGTGTGGATGGTGGAACAGTTTGGTTTGGGACACGGAGAGCCCATCCTGGTGCTGCACCCCATTGCTCTGCACGGTGGGAGGAGGTGGGCTCTCTGTGCCCCAGCTGCACAGTGACCCCAGGGTGGAGCATCCCAGGGTCAGCCTCCATGCACAGCAGTGGGATCGCTCACGCCCTGCCCCGCTCCTGCACCGTGACCCCATGGTGTGAAGGAAGGGCCCGTGCTTGTGTAGGACATGAGCCGATGGCGCTGGCAGCTGCTGCTGCCCTCCTCAGAGCACACAGACCTCCCAGCGGGGTGCACGGCCAGCCCCTGCCAGCAGCAACGTTTATGCTTGCAGATGGGATTTGGAGCACTTGCTTTATGGCAAGCAATAAACATGGGCCGTTTCAGCGACACCCTTTCATGCAAAAACCCAGGAGCGTGCAGCAAGCCCTGCTCTGGTTCAGCCCAGTCACTTGGTGGTGAAGCGGAGCCGGGGCTGAGATGGCGGTGCTGGGGAGGGGGCACCAGTGACCTCACCATTTGCTCAAGGAAAACCTCAGAGGAATGGGCTGCTCTCCCTGTCCTGGGATTTGTCTTGGGCATGCCAGCCTGCAGCTTGCTGCCTGTGTGTATACTGCTGCGGGGAGAATGGTGGCTGAGCTCAGTTTGATGTTTGGCACCAAAATGACCCCATCCAGGAGGGACCCACTCAGACTCCATGCTGCCCGTCGGCTCCGAGTGAGATCCCCATCCTCAGGGGGTTCTCAGCCCAACAGCATTTTCTAGGGCAGGCGTGGGAAGGGCAGGTGTTCTGGGAGGGAACAGGCTGTTCTCAGGGCAGTTCCTGGGGAGGGAAAGGAGAGCGGGATCCCATGGGAGCAGCAGCAGGGCTGGGGCCAGGCTGCCACTTCTCCAGCACTGTGCGATGCACCTGTGGTGCTCAGGGTGCCTCAAGGTGGGGATCCTTAATGGATTCTCAGCCCTTGGTGGCTTTGGGGAGCAGCATGAGCCCTGTGGGTGTGCCCACAGAGTGAGCATCACCTGCACCTTTGCATTCAGGCTGCTGGATTAAACAGCACCAAGCAATGGGGGCAAAGGTTCAGGGACCCTAGTTTTGGGAGGCTGCGTATTTATGCCACATTCATCCTACCCAAGGCTGCACCAAGCCCAGGGGGTGCTGCAGGCATGGCAGTAAGCTCGGTGACTCGTGCCAACCAGATCTCACTGCCCAGGGAGTGGTTGTGGTTTCCTTGTGAGAAACAGCCCAACACCGCAGAGCTCTTCCGCTGGGCAGGACAGGCAAAATCACAGCGCGGTGGTTCCCTGTGGGTGACTGTGGTGGGGAGATGAGGAGTGCAGTGTCACCTGGGGCTGAGGCGTATGGTAGCATCTCTGTTCCTGCATGTCCCCACCCAGACAAGGGCGCACTGGCTCAGGAGGGTCCAGTGGAGGAGCCCAGGACTGTGCCCTGCACCAGAGCTGAGCTTATCCATCAGCAAAAGAAATGCTGCCGCAGCTGCATTGGCATCTAGTAACTGGTTAAATTAATTCCAGGGTTTTATTGCCTCTGGTTATCCCAGACCTTTGTTTCTCGTTTCATGTTGTTACAAGAGAGGGTTCACCGGGCCCCAGGGGGGTTTTTCTCTCTGGTTGGAATAGTTGTGATGCTTTCAGCACCAAGTGTTATTGCCCATCTGCGGTGCTCACTGTGAGCGCAGAGATGGCCTGCGCTCAACTGGGCGAGGAGGATCCCGGTGAAAGTCCCCCTGGTTTTAAAGACAGAGATCTGTCCTGGAGTCTTTTCTCTACTGGGGGATCAGAAACAGGTCTGAGGCAGTGACTTGTGTTTCACCTTACAGCTTCTCCCACGTGTTAATTGTTTTTCTTGCT